TTCTATTTGGCAGTGAATGTATGAAGTCACTGCCATATTGCCACTACTCATTGTGCCAAATTTACCCTTTGATGAGTCATTCACAACTCTTTCATTCTCTGTAAGCTCCCCTCATTCCCATTTTCTTACAGCTCACACCAATCCAAAACTATTTTTACCCTATTTTTCTGACATGTAAATACTACAATATGATGTATCAATATAATGCAGTATGTTCTTCAAGGTCACCACAAGATATACAAAATCTTATTAACATGTGGGGCTTTAGTTTCCCTTATATTCCTTTTGGCTCAACTTCCCATTAACAAGTTAAACCACTAAACAGCAAACCTAGCCCTCTGGCACTGTAACCAGGTATTGCAATGTACAATGTTGTAAGAGACATCATGTCCTCACTTAACCTGAGTGCGTTGGGAAAATCTCATTTCTCATCTGTCACGTTCACTGGCCTTTATATAATTTGGATTGTGCTTCCCAATTCTTTTGTTATCTGTATCTTTCTTGTCTACTTTTGTTATGTTGTTGTTTTTGCCTTATTTGAACCGCTAATACCTTTTCCTCCTCCTTACCCTCCACATATATTTTCCTGTTGCCCTACCCACCTTATCTGTAATTTATCAAAACTGCTTGCCTTTTGTGCAAGCCGCACTGCCGCACTGCACCTCAGTTAGAATTGCCCTTCACATATGAACAGGAACTGATATGTTTTCTGAAATGTAACTATCCTGCTCATTTGTTTACTTTTTGCCTTACTCAACCTGAACCACAATCTATCACATATTATTTGCCTATTGCACATCTCCTACTGACCCCCACTTAGAATCACTGTTCACATATGAACCTGAACTGATACGTTTTCTGAAACGTGACTATCCCACTCAACTGTTCACCCCGTCTGTCTATTCTATTCACGCGTTCAACTATGGCCACAGAACCGTCATTACATATTCCTTTGCCTTGAACCCTAGACTTGAAAATCCTCAGCGGTGTTTCTACTCCTTCCAGTCATTTGCTTAAGCCCTGCAACATATAATGTCAACATTGCGGCGCTCTCCATTGGCCTGAGGAACTCGCTTTGGCTGATATGAAATTGAAAAATAATTCATTCTCCATGTGCTGTCAAAAAGGGAAGGTTAAACTGCCGTGTGCTGATGTTACAGCACCCCAAATTCCTCTATTTCTTGAGAACTTACTCCCGGCGTCTGATCCTGGTAAGCCCATCAACCTAATTCAATACCCGCGGTTCCCACACTAATTTTCTGCCTATCTTGCCCTAGAATCAAAGACTTTTCAAAAGTTTATACGTGCCTACAACACTTCTGTCTTTTGAAATCATGTTTGACAGAGAATATAATCTGAAGTCAAAGTGGCTATGAAATCCATGTTTTGATTCAGTTGCATTTGTGTTGGAATTTATCCCGGCGGCAAAGCCGCCATTAGACTCTAGTTTTCTCTATAATTGGTTGTAGTTGGACATTGAATATTCATAGTGTGTGATGCTCAAAGAAACATTACACACACACAAAATATACCAACCTCCAACCAGATAGAATTTTCAGAATTTATGTCAGGGTTGAACCATTTATAGTTCCAATATATAGACAACAACAAAATCAGACAAAAACACTGAAAGGGATTGTATTGGTTACTGAGGTAAGGTCTACTGTAGGCACTGCATAAACTAACTTGTCAGACAAGCCAGTCCAACAAGTCTTTGGACATTTATAGTTCCAATATATAGACAACAACAAAATCAGACAAAAACACTGTGAAAGGGATTGTATTGGTTACTGGGGTAAGGTCTACTGTAGGCACTGCATAAACTAACCTGTCAGACAAGCCAGTCCAACAAGTCTTTGGACAGACTTTGTCCCACAAGTTCAGCAGCCCAGTGTTGGCTCACAACAGCACTCTTTGGGCAACATCAGTCCAAGCACTCATCAGACTGGCTTGCCCAGTGATTTAGTTTGTGCAGTGAGGTGACCAATATAAAATTGATCTCCCAGACCAATTTTATATGGGCTGGTAACACTGATGAATTAATGCCAAGGGGTAATGTATCAGTAGGCCTGGCCAATAGAAAATCAGTCTTGAAGACCAATCCAACACAGTTTAATTTGCCCAACCTTCATGCAGGGAATTGTAACTAATACAACCCCTTTGGTAATGGGTGTTTCTAACTAATAAGGGTTATTAAAAGTCAATGTCAATTTATTATGTGATGTGAGGTAATAGGTTGCTGTCAATCTATAAGCTTATAATATTTGATATTAAATTGGTATGGTAGTGTCAAATGTATGCATATATGAGCTTTGAGGTGTGAATTCTCAACTTATGTTTAAGACCGGTTCACACTAGATCCTTTAGTTACCACATTGATTACATGGGTTCTCAATGTTTTGTAAGTTACACTTGGCTTGGTTACAATTGAATTTGGTTTGATTGAAGTATGATGGACCTACACTTAATTGAAGGACTTCCCTTTGCCATTTGGAGTGGGTTTTAGACCCCCCTCAAGTCTAAAATAACACTTTAATCAAAACCACAACCAGCTCACATGACAGCCATCACAACAAGGCTTATTAATTTTCTTTTGCCAAAGATTAATATTGAAGTGGTATAAACTCAGTTCAGGAAGGTTTCTGAATTGCAATAGGACATCATACATTAGCTCTAGTTGCTAAAGAATGATATTGTAGTATCTTTTTCCAGATGTATGTAAAACAGATTGTGGATTATAATAAGCTCATGAAAATGAATCCCAGGAAAAGGTAATCATGTCAACTTATGATCTTGAGATGAAAGAGTGTATTATGTCCATGTCAACCATGTCCTGATTTTGAAATAAATATGCAGATTGAGAGGAAACCTGATGTTGATGATGAAGAGTGTCTTGATCACAATACATGTAGATGAATGTTCAAAAGCCTTGGTTTGATTGATGCAACTGTTCATTCTTGGTGCTGTGGGAGCCAGTTGTAAAGCATCATCTTGGCTGCAAACAGGGCTGTCAGAAGTCAGGTTTATGTAATATGTAGCATCAGACTTAACTAAGTCTCTCCCTGAGGGGGGGCCAAAGCAGGGACTTATGCCCTCTAGGTGATTTTGGCCTGAGAGGCAAGACATTTTTCCTTACTTTCTGCTGGCTTGGTGCAGTCAGTGTTGAGGGACACCAGGGACTGAAAACAAGACTTAGGTCAAGGACTCAAGACTCACAAATTACAATGATGACTTGTCGATGAGAATTAATATGTATTGATTCAATAAGAGAAGAAAGAAGGAGAGAGTTCCGGTAGCTCAGTAGTACTGGGAGGCTTGATATAAGCATAACTCAGTACAAGCATGCAAGTACTACATACAGGATTGATCAATCCAACAGTCAGTACATTGCTACATTTGGGGATTAGACTCAGCAGAAGCCTGGCTTCCTCCACCGCTCTTTGTGTGTTTTCTGGTCCTCCCACATCCTGCAAAATGAAGGAATGTGAGCCCAGTTATATGGTTTTGGTAATCCAACATCTTCTTCAACAAGCTATATTTATGGGTCATAATGGCAGCCCAATGATGATCTAATTAAGGCATCAAAAACTAGGGAAGATGTAAGGCCTTTTGATGATCATCCAATAATCGCAAATTTTATTTTGGTTTCAGAGCTATAGCAAAGTTCATGAAAAATGTGATACATATTTGAAGATTCCTCTCAGGCCAAAAAGCACTACACACCCCCACTATCCTGGGTTAGTTAAGTTTGATGTAGCATGAGCTCTACTAGTGATTCTTCAAGGGGGTTGTGGGAGCTACAGTTGTGAACGTCATAAACCTGTACTGACCCGCCTGCAAAATTTACAATTTGCACGCGGGCCCTCATGGTAGGGGGCACATAGGCTCAACCCCCCATCTAACCACAATTTTGAGCCTTTCAGACCGAGGGGAGTTCAGAATTAACTCCGCTAAGGCATCCGACCAACGGTTCTTTTTTTTTTTCTTTTTTTTTCTCCGCCCCATCGGACCTGGTCTATAAATACTTTAGTAAGTACATATGTATGGACTTACAGGTGACTATATGGCTTAAGAAAGGCCATACATGACATAAGTACATGCTTGTAACCCATACCCAAAGGTCAAAAAGGCTTGTAGTAAGTACAACCTCGGCTCGGAGTCGAACACACAACCCTTTGCAAGGCCTAAAGCCACCCACACCACGGACAATTGCATGTCGCTCCCGCGCGGAGCGACATCTGGGGGTTTCATTGGGGGTTTCGTGCGCAGTCACTGCGCCTGCTGCCGCAGTCACGCACGCGGATTCGTCAAGGTGACGGTTACATCCGCGGCGACACGCAAATGACCGTGGTGCCAGGACCACTACACCAATACACATATGGCTTCCGGGGAGCCTGGCTGGTTGATCCCAGGTCAGAAAATCTCCTGATTTGGTAGTATTTTCACAAAAAAAAAAAAAATCGCAAAATTTTGGTCCCCAACCGTCCGGACCCAAAAAAAAATGTGGTCGGTTAATGACGTTCGCAACTGTATAGATATTCTATGACTACAGTAATGATGTGATCAGCTCGGAGTTTGGGAGTGGATTGCCGGCCGGAAGGGAGCCGGAAGGGGTTGGATGTCATTTATCCGGCTCGGCTGCTCGGCCAACATTTGATTGAAAGTTCATGACCCACCGATCCTGCTCAACCTGGAATTTTCTCCGAATATGAAGTTGAGGATATCACTTTTGATGTGAATCTGATCGAGCTTGCAGAGATGAGGAGAGCCTTAGTTCGACTATGAGTATGTATGACCGCCCATGACCAAAGGCAAACAAACATTAAGCTGTTGGGCTTTCCCATCCATCAATATTCGCCAATCCTGCAGGCTTGTGAAGTTTGAAAGGGGTGCTCCAGTCTTCAGTGCTGAGGACTGTTAATACCGCCAATCGATCCTCCCCATTCTCTCATCCATCCTGGAATATCCTGATTTGTACCGGCCTGCGATTGACCCTCTCGATGGCCCAACATTCATCAGTCCCACGCACTCAGACTGTTCGCTGCCGGAGGGAATCAGATTAATTTATGTAAAGACCTCAACACAGGTGAGAGAGAAGCTTACTCTATCCCGACTCCATATCATCGGAGTCATCTCTCCAGCCCAGACCCTGGCCATCCAGCATATATTCGGCCATCTGATAATTCTGGACCATCAAGACTGCAGCAACTACATCTCGATCTCCCCAATATCGACCCGGAGGATACAAGCACTCGAGAATCATTCCTTATCATCCCCCCACCGTTTCAGCAGCGAGCGAAGGGCTCCTTTGAATTTGCTCTGGTCAGTCCACCTTTCTCCTTCAGTTTTCTGCAAGTCGAGCAGCTGTAAATTCAGCCGAGACTGGGTTTCCCCATTCGATTTGCTGTTGCTGCTGCTGCTGCTGTTTCAGGCTGTTTCCCATTCCAGTCCATCCGCATTCATGCACTGCTTCTTGGTTGAACTTGATGATAGTGTAGTAGCCTGAAATTCGCACCACACCCATCTGGCTGGCTCGTCGTCTCAGCTGCTCCTTACTTAAACCTGCCCTCCATCCACCTGGAACTGCTTCCGTATAACAAATCCTGGAATTCTTTCTTGATGATCGAAAGCTTACCTACTCTTCCAACATTTCATCCCTCAGAACTCATCCTGTGATCTCGCAGCCACAAGCTGAAACCCCCCAAGTCACCAGGGCGCATATATCCTCGTGGTGCGTTAGATACTAATCAGCCGACCTGCGGAAACATACAAATAAATAAATAAATACACTTCCAATTGATTGATTGCTCATCCAACTTCCTTGCTTACATATCTATCAGCACTGCTACTCTGCTCTTTGCAGCCCCCGATCCCAAGAACAGAAGAACGCGTCTTGGGTAATTCTGTTTTAGAGCCGTGGTCATCCTCCGTCCCGGCATCGCCTTCGGCTTGCTCGGTGGGTGCTGTGTGTCCGTTTGATCAGAGCCAACAAGGAAAAGGAGGCCGATCATCATCACAAAAGTTCTCGCAATTCTTCTGACAGACTGATCATTCTCAATGATTCCACAGCAGATTTAACCAAATTACAGAAAACAAAAAAATAAAAATAAAATAAAAAATGGCTGTCAAGCCTGCCAATAAGAGAAGATCTATTATCCAAGTCGGATCTCCCCTATTAGCATCCCCAGTCAAACCTACGCGAGACAATAATCGGGATCACCCTCCTATCAAGCCGAGTCCACAGCAGCCTGAACCGACCAAGGCCATTAACCCCCTCAAGAAGAAACGACTCAGTGCGAGCCGTACAATCATGAACAACCAGAGGAGGGATGCCGGCGCGGTCGGAGTCGAGACCCACAAGAAGCGCGCTGGAAACGCATTGGTCGAGCATTTGAAGGAGAGAGACGCTGCAAAGATTCTCCGGATCAAGACCCATCTGAACCTCATCAATTCCTTCAACTTACTCCTCAACCTCTCCAGGCTCACCCTTCTATCCTTCAACTCACACACTATCACTCATCCTCACCCCCAAACCCATAATCAGACCGGGCACCTAACCACCGATGATGATCCATCCATGAATGAAGATCCAAATTACCAAGACAAGCGGCTGAAGGAGGATGAAGAGCTAGAGGCTAGCTTCTATCATTTGGCCTTGTTTCGCTTCGAGCTTTGGCTCGGAAGGATCGCAGATTATCTGCCTCAGTCACTCTACAAGCTCAAGAGGCCCGACCAAAAATCCAACCCCCACTTGATCAAGAAAGATGACTACGAGATCGAACTCACTGTGGATTACTTACCGCCACTTGATGTCTTGTTTGTGTGGTATTCCTACTGTCTCAACTCAAGGTTCGTTCTCATATTTTTTTTTCCCTTCTTTCTATTTACATTACTCTTCACGGAGTCACTGACGCTAAATAATAAACCCTTGCTTGCAGGAATTATTACGAGGATGGCTTGAGATTGTATCCGATCTTGAAGCATTTAAGATTTCCTCTGGAATTGGCGGTGCGTAGGCCTTGCTTGATTGAATAATCTTCGATTCAAAAAAAAACCCCTTCCCAAGTTGCTTTTCCCGTTCAAGAAAAACTCATAAATTATTATCTACCTATATTATAACAGGCAGCCGAATATGACCTGTTTTGCCCCAAGACAAACGTCCAAAAGCTAGGACCAGCCAGCCAGATTGGCGAAGAGGAGACGGGCGAGTTACTGAGGAAGATCAAGCAATTATCCGACCCTGCACACAGTTGCGTTAACTTCAAGGACGACAAGCACCTCAGAGATCCGAGCGTGCTCTTGGGATTGCTCTCGCCCAAAAGCTTCGATTCTCCCGCCGGATCACATTCGAGAAAGCTGTGGACCAGCTTGACAAACACCGATTTTAATCTAATCAGGTTTATCAATCAACCCAGCTTGCGTACTTTTATCTGTCCCCAATGCGATGATACTCTCGAATCTCGTGAGCAACTTCACCCCCTTCCTCTACTTCCTTCCACATTTTATTCACCTTCTTCAACTCGTGTTTTCATGCTAATTCGCTGGGAACATCTCTGATTTTTTTGCCCCCCTTTGCTACAGCCTTTTATGTGAAGGATAAACAGACAAACACTGTCAAGGTGACCGATTCTTGTTGGTCTTACTCGGGCCCGAAGGCCCACAAGTCGCAGCACAAACCGACTTCGACCAGCGTTCAGCAGGATGATCAAGGGGCGGCCTTCGCCCAAGAGGAGTCCCCGCGGAATCACTTGGACAATTCAAGAGGCGCCCACCCTGCCGGCTCACACAAAAACCACGCCAAGCTCAGGTGTACTAATTGCAACTGGACAGGTATCAAACAAGACTTGAGCTTGTTCAAGTATGCCAGCGAGTTCAAATTCTCTTCGGCTAATCTTTGGCTGAAGTCTGCGAGCAGCCATCCGACTCAAGACGCAGTGAACTGTTTGGCGTAAGTTATATATAATCTACTCAACCCGTCTAAGAGTCTCTTTTCTTTTTCTCTGAGTTCACTAATCTTTGTCCTCTCCGCTCCACACGGAAAAACTGGATTGGTCATGAAAACTAGCGGCACATTAACAACCTTGGATGACTTGAACGACACTAAAAACGCGATCAAGTTTAATGGCTTGTTCTTGAAGGAGAAAACCGATCTGGTAAATGCTCTGCATGAGCGTGGCCAAGACGAACATCACCAGTCGGATGTGGATCGTTGTTTGGATCATTTGAACCACATTCGTCATTCGCTCGATCTTAAAATCTTGAAGTGAGTTCTATCCACCCCCCCCCCTTTTTTTTCGCATTCCATTCACCTGACCATTTTTTTCAAAAAAAAAAACGTATTTCCTATTACGTAACCAGCAATAAACTAGTCCCAACACGCGAAAGAATCAAAATCAAAAACTGTTTCCAGAATCTCCTGAAATCGTACTCCGTACCCGAGCCATTTTCAGTCGATCTGATCCGATCCGTTGAGTAGTTTCCCATTCTCCCTTTGATTCAAGCCATCGAGAGCTGTCAACCTGTCTGTTTTTTTTATGAGAGAAAAAAAACGTGTTGATTTCGATGGAAGCTTGTGGATGATGACAGATGAAGCTCGAGACGTTCTTTATCATGAAGATGGTCGACTTGGGCTGGACTGAGATCAACGATCCTCTGAGCGCTACCACCGCAGCCAATAGTGTCGCCAAGAGCGAGCTTGATGGCCGTTTGCAAAGTTGTCTGTCTAGATACAATGCGTTAGTCTCTCTTCGATCTCTGTCAGCGTATAAGACTTGCCCATCCAAGAAAAAAAAATCTCCTGAATCCAATCATTGTAACAATTGTAGCTTTTCGAGCTTGGTTTCAACTATAGATCCGCTTCAAGTACTGATTCCAACATTTGACATGTTGAGTTCTTCATTTTATTTTCTCAGCTCTTCCTGTTCAAATTCTAATCAGATATTCTTGTGCCCGACCTCGACTGACATCACTCCTGTTGACTCTTTTGTATATATAGTGATTTGGCGTGGAAAGCAGACAGGCTCAGAGGAGTCGAGTACACTGAATCGATGATGCAATATAACAAGAATTTAATCAACCAGTTCAGTCTACTCTTCCCATTGGGGTTCTCCTCTGGCACAAAGGCTCAAAATATCTTCATTGAAATACTAATCATCTACCTCCTGACACTCATTGGCAATTTCAGTCCGAACGAATTGGATTTGGATAAATCAAAGTACTTGGCCCACTTTAGATTGACTTCAGCACTATGGATAGTGAGTGTAGCTTTCCCAGTGAACTAAGCTTTGAACAACGATGCATTCCAACAAGAATTAACTTGCTTGCTTCACCGCCTTGATCCTATAGTCCCGTTACCATATCGGATATTCCAGATACCCTGCCCCATTTGTCAAAGTTGATAGGCGGCAAGATTGGCTCAAGAAAGCTATAAGGGAACTCGCTCTCCCAGTCGAATCAATCTCCGTCCGCAAGGATTCCAGCCAAGCTGATTCGCTTCGAAAGCAGTCGACTTCATCATCCGCCACAAATCGATCCCCGGTCTCCAGCTCCACGACGTGCTCGGTTGACATGCCCGATAAAAGCCAGGCTGTCGAGGAGCAAAAGGCTGCAACAAAGTCTCCAATTATTCCTTCTTTCGAGCGTGGTTCAACATTGCCGAAGTATGAGGTAAACAACAACGATCACCGTGAAGGTCTGAGTGGTCAAAATGATGACTCTGAAGGGGACAGCAGCAAAGAGAGCATTGGTAAATATTCCGACAAAGGAAAACAGTTCGTAAAGGACACGGACAATGAAGATCACTCTTCAGCTATCGTCACCAAAGATTTAAGAGACTCTGTGCAAGTCCAGCCTCCCATGACTGACTCTAAACTGGAGCCAGCGCAGCCTCATACCCAAGCAGACAACAGATGCTTTGATGATGATCAGAGCAAAGAAATTAAGAGTGAATATGCCGATAAAGGAAAGCAAGTCGCCCAGCCTGAAGATGAAGGCAGCGACTCGTCAAGTATGGCTACAAAATACTCAAAAGAATCTATCATCCTCTCAGATACAAGTCCCGGTCAACCGGTCGATCAAAGAGCTTCTCAACAATATGCACGCAAGATTTTTCTTGAATACACTCGGCCAACATCGATCAATCCTGCCGACTACACACGCAAACAAGAAGGTGTGGCGGCGATACCATCTGTTTTACGCCCGTCTCACTTTTCTCATGAGTTTGGTACTCAATCGATCAAGATTCCATCGGACTTCTCGGCAAGCTCTAACCAGAAGAAGACCGAGATCACGTACGAGCATCCGAAGCGAGACACCATTCAATTTGAGCTGCCTCCAAATCAGCCGGCGAATCATTGTGATGGCCAAGCAGGATGGAAGGAGAAGGACAGAAGCTCAACCGGATCGAATGCAGCTCGTGATCCGAGTCTCGATGTGGCCGGCAGTTCGCAGAATGCATGGCGCGGCGTTCGCAGAGAGGATTACAGTATGCCCGTCCCGACGCTATCGCCGGAGATCCAGAGCGCCAGACAGCCAGCTCGCGAAGCCAGTCTGCCCATCCATCTCACTCAACCGCATCTCCAGTCCCATCGTGCTGCCCGAAAGACTACCGCAGCTGCTTCCCCCGGCCTGCGCTCTCCTCCCCCGTCCAGACCTCCCTTCAGCCCCTCCCGTCCTCCCCTTACTAAATCCAAACTTAAGGCCACCGACATCGGCGACGAACTCTTCGATAATAACTTCGTCATTCCGATCGGTAAGATCGCTTTCGTCGAGGAAGGTAACCGACTCCGTTGTCTTTGATCTTATTCCTATCTCCCCCCCCCTCTCTCTCTCTCTCTCTCTCAGTCTTTCTTTCTTATTGAGATCGAAGAAAACATCATCATCAAAAAAAATTGTATCTTTTCGTACATCTTCATTCTTGGGGATTCAATATTACCCATCCGTCCACTTCTGATCTCTTTCCATGCCTGCTCTCTTACAACCTCTCCTCGCTTTGACTCGCCGCACCGCAACTTGTCTTCTCTCTCTCTCTCTCACCAATGTATGTCTTGTACTCCGTTTTGTCTTGTACTACTTGTGCTTGTAGACTCTCTCTCTCCGCCCCGTCTCTCTCCCTCTTTCTCTCTGACTCATTTTTCCCCCTTTTATCTTCTTCGAGTGATGATGTATAATCACCACTCACTTTTCTCTGGTCGATTCTCACTATGATGATAATATCTTGCGCGCTCTTAACGTTACCAACTGATGACTTTTTTGGGTGTTGACAAAAGCACAAATTTGTTCATTTCTTCCAACACTGACACGTTGTATGTTACATACACAAAAATAATGATTTTTCAGCGTTACCAACTTGCGTAAAGTAAGGTTAGGCAACCCCGCTGACAGCTGCCGACGCTCTTTTCCTAGGGTGAGGCGCTGTTGAGGTCTGAGTGGTCAAGGACGCGTGGCATTGCGCCGACGGCTGTGAGCCAGAGATTCCTGTGGGGTTGCCCTTCGGATTCTCACTTGAAAGGCTTGTGTTCGGCTCGTGTTCGGAAGGGCCCAAAGACAATCGAAGGAGCTTGTATTTAAAGTCGGAATTGTTGGGTTGTCGTACAGCGCAAGACACTTTGAGATCTCAGTCTGATGAGGCTTCCCGTTGCCAGGCCAATCGGCTTATAAGATGATAGAATCGAAGAAAACTCTTGGAAGCTGCCCCCACGATTACAATATCTGTGTAACTGTAACGGCGGTGTAACTTGTAAGGATACATACATAGCCAGCTCACCTGCCTGGCAGCTTGAACACGCCGACAAAAGTCAGCATTCCCTTACAATGGGAGCCCTCTATAGGCGCCTGCGCATATCATGAGCTCATACCATATGTACAGCTGTTCCCAAAAACCTTGCGGTTTCGGGAGGCCTGTATTTCAGAAGAAAAATTTTAGCGCCACCGATTTTTTACGCCTCACGGCCTGTATAGATTCCAGTACAGGCTCTGTTTTGGCTGCCGAGGCCTCGGTGTGGGTTCCGATGCCTGCCAGCTGCCAGGCAGGGGTTGGCAGAGCCCCCATGTGGTGAGCGGCCCCTGACCAAAAAGTGGAGAGGATTACAATGATCCAACTCCCACACACTCAACTCGGAAAATGTGGGAGTTGGGTCCTGTGGCCTGAAGTACTGTGGCCATACAGGGCCATGTACAGGAGAGAGTGGCGCTAAAACAAAGAGGCAAAAAAACAAATTCTTCGGAAATACAGCCTTCCCAAAACCGCAAGGTTTTTGGGAACAGCTGTATCCTTGCTTCTATATCGCAAATTAATCTGGTGGAATGTGTTGGTCAATGGCCCGATTGAGTGACAGTTGCTCACCTTCTGTAGCCTGATCTCGCCACTTGAGCCTCATTCACCTCACATATTATAGAAGAAGTGAATTAATCGCGTGTATGGATCAGGATGATGCAAGTCCAGTGACCACCAGTCGGGCTGTGCATGCGTTGATGCCGAATTCTTGAACTGTTGAGCCACGAACGCCGCCCGGAGTTCTCCATGGAAAACTTGCGTAATGTACACACAACAACATAACTTCTGGCCAACACCTGTGGGCTGGCCAGATGCCCGTTGACGATTCCTCCGTAGTCCGAATTAGACGCAGATATCCAGAGCCGCCGCGATAGACTCTCATAGCCCCACAGTTTCTTTTTCCCCCAAGCCATAAGTCCGGTTGAAATCAAATCAATTCTTGTCCAGCTTCTTTTACCGAGTTGCAAGCGCGTCCGCTGCCTTTCACCTGTCAGAATTCAGAGCGCAAGATTATTGGTAAGTCTTCCAGCTGCTCTGTGCCTTCACGCCAGACAGTCCCAAACTGATACGTATGCCCTGGTCATAGATAATCATCGACCTGCGAACGAAGAAAGCAGTTGATAATCATTACTTCCCAAAGAAACAAACAAACAGAATGAATCATCAGTCTGGATCTGGCGGATGGAAATCGAAATATGGAAGGTTGAAAGGCCGGCACGTCAAGCGAACAACTAACAGCTCCGCCTCCGATGCCACCGAAGATTCTGTAGAAACAACTGAGCTGCGCGAATGCCTAGCTAGCAATCTATCGGGCCCCGCTTGCCAGAACGTGACCCGGATTATGGAAGCTCCGTCCAGCGCTAGCTCCGTTCTTGAGGCTAATAAGACTAATAACACGAATAACACGGGGGCCTTAGCCACCGCTTCTCTTGCTCCTAATAACACAAGCAACATGGTACCCTCAACCAGCCCCCCTATCGGTCCCAATAACGCCACTACCACCGCCGCTCCTCCGGGCGCAGTTGCAAGAGATAATCGGCTAGGTTGGAAGATCGGTCTTGCTGCTCCCTTGCTCGTGATCCTGCTTATCATCGGACTAGCGTTCAGACATAAAAGGGCCAAAAAGCTAAGCATGCGGGAGAAATGGCAAGAGCTGAGCATCCCGCAGGAGGTTGTTGGAGAGAAACGCCAAGAGCCGGAGGCTGAGAGCCAGAAGAAGACGAACGCAATCCAGCCGAGAGGGAATAGGGAAGAGAGCCTCCAGACGGAAGAAATTCTCTCGGCTCCCGCAAGGAGCAAGAGGAAAGAGCCGAGCCACCAGGAAATGCTTGACTTGGAAAGAGGCACCCCAGCAATCTCCGTCAGACAGGGCGACGAGGAGGACAATCGGTCGAGGAAGTCGAGTGTGGTGAGCCGGTTCAGCCTCCGCTCCTTCTCCCTACGACCGCCCATGGACATGTCGATCTTCCAAGCACGCAACGACGCGCCCCTCGATACCTTCCAGCTCGAAATCAAGCACCGCGAAAGGCTCTCCAAAGCGAAGTGAGTAAAGCTCTCCTGAAACCTGGTCGAATGCTACCGGTCCTGAACCAGCTCCTGACAATCCTTCATCTCTTGGTCTTATCTCTCTCCCTCCACCCACCCCTCACAGCCCTGAAACAATGCCTCGCTTCCTGAACCTCCATCCCGCCAAGTGAACCTGCTCTTGGCTACCACCCATCTCTCCTCTCCCTCAAAACAACGCTCCACGCTCACCCAGTGGCGGTCCCTCCATCCTTCAAGCCTGGACATAGATCGATAAGCAACCTTCGGAATTACCCATCGTGATTCCTGCGATCTTACCAACCAACATACATCCCGAGTCACTATGACCGATAGCAATTTCTCATCTGGATTTTTGAATCATATTAGATTTTCGTATACAATACTAATCTGTAGGTAACATGCACAGTCATGATACCGTGAGTTCTACATGGGTTCACCAATCATTCTTCTTTGTTTTCTTAAATCCTCCTTTTGAGTATCCTTATAACTTATCTTGTAAAATATGACCTAAACAAGCCTCCCTCCCTCCGTGCCAGCCCCCAACCCAGACATTCTGTTCCCTTTGTTTCACCCAACGCCCAGTAACGAGAAAAAAAAAAAAACCCCTTGCTCAGAAATTCTTATTCATTTTCTCCCTCTTCATCGTGTTGTTTGGATACACCTTTCTGTGTCGTGTATCTTTGTTGTATTAATCTCTGCGCTCTCAAGTCACATACATAGATGTTCCTTCCGATTCAAGATGTATATACGTCATCAGATTGCGATACTTGAGGCCACCCTTGTCATCATAATATGTATACATGGAGTAATATCATATTCATAGCCATTTCATAATTATTATCCTGTCAACATATGCTGTTAATAAAAAAAAATGTCTGTCTACTGTACACTCCCAATGGCGGGAAGGAATCCTCTTGGCCGTCAAGAGTGTAGACTCTCAATGGCCTGGAGTTATCCTCCCTACAGTTGAGGGTGTACACATCTCAAGGGCCAGGAGGGCCATTGAGATTTGTATGTAGACCTCAAACCCCATTCCCCAGAAGAGTTTTCCAGGGCTTATTATTATTATTGATTGTAATTGAAATAGTTTGGGATCTGACTCCCATTGCCACCACAAGAATGGGAGGAACAACTCTCCAGATTTAGGGGGGCCTGAACAAAATGTGGGCTGGGGACATCCTGAGACAGTCCCCAAGTGTCCCTTCTGACAATTTGGGAGTTGATCCTCCCAAATTTGCAAGTCAACTAACCCAGCCCCTTATATACTTATATATGCTAGAAACAGATTTTTGATTTCACTGATTCATTGCTAAATTCTTGTTCAAAGCATAAGGAAGTAACAAAGATAAAAAGAGAGAAAGGTTTAATTAGAAACAAGATCATAGTCAGACTGCTGCATGTGACTGCATGTCCAGTTGTTCTATCATCAAGTTAAATCATCCACAAAAATTAGGAGAAGTTATATGTAAGATCAATTATACTAATGCAAATGGAATCATCAATAAAAAAGAGACATTCCATTTTGTCTTCAAATAAATCAAAGATTTAAACCTCCAATTGTATAGATTGAGAATATATAATAATTTAGAATCACACCATTCAACAACGTGTACTGAATTTGTTTGTCAGATTTGATAATTTGGATGAGACATTCAAATTGTTGAACATATTGAAATTGTTGAATTCAAATGATAACAAATGATAACCAAGATATTTAACAAAATCTCATATCACAAACCAATTGTTCTGATTCTCAGGAGGTACTTCATCATTTGCATCTTTGATTAATGACTTGACAATTTTGGGTATTTTTCTTATATTCTTGACTTCAGAATCAAGTAAATCAATGAGTTTCTTGTATTGTAGGTTAGCTTCAAAATTTTGATTCCATGCTTTGTCTTGTTTGAAGTGAATTCTTGTTATCTGGTAAGCAACCAGATTTAACCGCAACCTATTCCAGTAAAATTGTATTCTTTCTTCTTCTTCAGCTCTTTTTGAATCCTCATTCTCTCTAACATTCATCCTAGAGAAGTGGAGATAGTGAGAGTAATCCAAAAGAAGTTGCTTCCAGATTTCATTGTTAGAATTCAATTTCAGAATGCTACATTTTCTAGAAAAGTCAACTCTCTCTGCCTCATCTCCTTCAAAAATATCTGAATTTACATAATCAAAACCAAACCGACTTTCAAGGAAATCAAAAATATAAAATACAGTTGGATCAATACCCTGTACTCTTATACTCTGACCTCCCAGTTTTAAATCCTTTGGATCAATGATTCTCTTCCTCAATTTGATAAGATCTTCTCTCACATCCCAAAAAAACTGTTCACTTGTAGCTTTCATCCTCCCATTTTCTAAGCCTTTCAGAAGAATTTCTTTCAATTTGCGGGTAAATCTAATCACATCTTCCTCTGATTCACTTAGCTTGATCTCTGGGTCTGTTTCATCATTCAAGGTTTCTGTGGCCACTTTTGTTGAGATTAAATTTGTTAAACAAATGAATAAAACCCAATCTTGTTCTTCTTTTGAATATTCTGTTTTGATTTAAAATGCATTACGATGGTAGCAGAGGAGTCATTCATTTGAGCTGAAAGTCTTGGGAAAAATTGAAAACTTACGTTCGAATATCTTATTATAGTGGATCAGATGGAAATGGAACTTTAGATGCTCTTCATTTCGAAAATCCCAATGAAATTTGTTATCCAGTCTGCTTTCATTTTGAAAAATGTAAGAAGATGAGTCTCCAAACCATTTTAAACCAGGCCTGCTTTTCAAAAAACGTTCAATTTCTTCCATCAAATCGGGGGCCAGGTTGTATTTTTTGATGAACTCCAATGTCTGAAAACCACATTTTTTGCAATTGATGTCTATATGATGCATCCCTGTGGTTAAATTGTCATTTTCTGATGTTGCTTTCACAAGTGAGACAAGAGACCAAATTGATTGATTGTAGAGCTCCAAAAAGCCTTTTTTCCCTTTTATTTCCCATGCTTCTTTGGGTCGATCCACAAAATGGGGCATTGGCCCTCCTGGTGCTCCAAAGATATGAATGAGGAGATTTTGGCAACAGTTGACTTGATCAATTTCTTGTCTTATGGTATCAAGCTGCTCAGGATAATATGGATCCACATCAACTTTCTTGGCATCTTCTTCAAGTAACCGAGTAGACTCAATGATTTCTTGCCAATCCTTTTCAATTGAATCTAAAAATTCCACAGAACCAGACAATTCAGTGGCAAATTTGGCTAGATTATACCAGGAAAAAAGTTTGTTTACCCTTTTGAGAATTCATTAATGATTCTGGTTTATTTTCTGATGCTTCTGAAACACAGGGAAGAAATTTGATTAGTCATCTTGAAGCACAAATGATTATCTTGTATTGTTGCAAAAAAAAGATAAATGAAAATGCACCCTTCACATCAATTCCTGTGTTTATTACTTCTTCCTTTGTTACCTCTGTGAAACCTACTGGGAGCACTTCAAGGCTGGAAGCAGTAATAAAACAAAAACTGTGCAATGATTCATTTATCAAGAATTTTGGAACCTTTTCCTGGAATTTTAAGAGTATTATGTACCACTAAGTTTTGACACCTACACAATAAGAGTGGAAAGAAAGTCTGACACAAGAACTAATTATGAGTATGATTTGAGAGAATGGATGCAACAAACTTTTGCTTAGAGTCACAGTGAGTGCAGTATACAACATCTGTGGGGTAGAACAAGATTTCATCAATGAACTTTGAAGTGAGGGTTGTCATTTGTGAAACCTATGGAAATCATGAGAGTTTTTTGGATGAAACAAATTGAAGCTAATTAGACAATTTTAAGATTCAGGAGACCCAGAGATAACTTTTGAAATACCTGGGAACAGAAGTCAGACCAAATTCTAGAGTACACATACAAGCTCCACTCTTAGTAATGTACTTCTCACTAAACAAAGCCCCCCCCCAAATACTGGCAACCTCCTCTCCCCCCAGCCAGAAGGAGTAATTGACCTAGCAAAAATGAATTGGATCAATAAACCAAATACTGATTTATGCTGTATATTGAAACTTGTGTGATCAATGGTTGAGGAAATTATGGACTGTACTGTCTGGAAATTAGTTTTGGCAAACAATAGGGATTTAGCTGAAACCATAGGGGTACCACAGGGACCCCATATTAGGTGTAGGGGGTATGTGCGTCTTGGATGAAACAATTTCATAAGAAATACATTCACTGAGTATGTGCACAAATACAGCTGATTCTGCAATGAATCAACCAAGGTGGATGAAATTATGAATTAAATCTGGGACTGTGTCTGAGGGAACTCACCCAGACTCACGGGGATAGTCTGGCACTATAGCTTCAAACATATTTCTTGTTTTACTAAAGTAATTCATGTTGTGTAACTGTGCCCCACCACTTCTACCTGGAAAAACCATTAAGAATTGGTGTCATCCAGCTTGGTTGCTGTCTTTCAAGCCAAAGCAGCTAGTGTTAGTGTAATACTTATACCACTAACATAGCTTGAAACACCATTAGTGTTAGTGGTATTACCCTAACACTGGTAGTGTTTGTGGTATTAACCTGGAAGTGGTAGTGTTAGTAGGATTTCCCTAACACTGGTAGTGTAAATGGGATTGCCCTAACACTGGTAGTGTTAGTGTTATTGCCCTAAAACTATTAATTTTAATTTAGTGGGATTGCCTTGACACTGGTAGTGTTAGTGGTATTACCCAAACACTACATTTAGATTAGCTGTCCAGTGTTCTGACTAGAACATCAGATGACTGGCTACTTTCAGAGGCGTAAGTCTTCCAGAAACATCTGTCTAATGAAAAAAAAGTAAGACATGAGTGAGAATTCCCAAGTTTCTTACTAAAAATTAAAGTGTTGTAGTTTGGTTTGGGAATTGGAAAACCTGTTGAAGTGTCAAACTCAGGCACTGCTTGTTACACATTGCTAACACATCCATGTGAGACTTCTAATCAGCATTGGAGGCGATTCTTCATGATCCACGTCATCATTACATTTCACAAGCATACATCACCAATGTATTCAACATCAGCAATGCGTACTTATCTCAATGGTCAGAGCATCACTCATGAATGCTGAGGTTGTGGGTTCAAGTCCCACAGTACACAAACTTTCTCCTCACTTGTTCAATACAACCTGCTTTGGAGATGGAAGGATAATATTCACTGTCACCTGTAACACTACAATCCTTTGGTCCCAAATGTAAGAAATAATTTTCAAATCATTCATTTGGAGTCAAAGTTCATTCAGAGCAGAGATGGCAATTTGCACCCAGGTACCTGTGGTAGGTGCCAGTACCTGCCTTAAATTCTGGTACCTGCTGGTAGGGTGCAGGTACCCTGTTGAGTTTTTCTCAGTTCTGTCTCTCTCTGCCCTTCTTCTATTTCTTATCACCCTAAATAAGACTGATTTAATTTCACCAAGTAGCTTGTTTGCTGGTTGTTTTCTGAGTACTCTTCTGAGTCAAATTTGAACCTTAAGAAATTAAGCTCAACTCAATCAATCTTGTCTCTACGGATGGAGTTTCTTCTTTTTCTGATTTACTGTCTGATATTAAAAAATTGGTTAACTAGAATTAACGCCTCTTGTTATTTGTGACTTAGAATATTTTATCTTGACTAGCTCATCTGGCTTTTACTACAAGAGAATGAGAAGTACTGCGCAGTTGTTATTTTCCAAGAACTTATTCTATTTTCTCTCAATTTTTATTCAAAATACTTTTCTTTATTCATTTTTCTCTCAACCACATTTTTAACCTTTTGTATTTAGTCTATTTAAAACAGGCTAGCTACAAGAAATAAAACTCATTGGTTCTTTCACTCATTTTCCGTGAACCTCTCCCAAAAAAGACCTTTACCTTTTTTGTGCCCTTTTCTCAAAAATCCACGACTTCATCCGGTTTCTGAGCTCAAAAATTTAACATACCCACCAAGAGTTACAAATAGCCACAAAAAGGCTGTTTCAGCCTCAATTTATGGCCAGGTACCTGTCTGAAATTGTACTGATTTTGGACACCTGCAGAGTGCAGGTGGGCTAGCTTACAACAAGCCCCTCAGTCAGAGGTGTGTCAATACCTCTGCCCACAAAGCAAGCCTCCACAGGAGGGGCTTGGGACCCAAGTCAAGTTTTGGCTTGAGAGGATTTGGCTTTTTGGTGGTGGCAAACTCCCCTCCACTATAATCCCACCTGCCTCCTGGAATTTTTGATGCCCTGTTGGGTCATTAGAACTGCATGGATCTTGTGTTACATCTGCCAAAACTTGGGCCTAGATGCATGTCCCCATTGCAATACATACACCTTTGCAGTCTTATCTCCCAGTGATGCTTTTATCTAATTTGACCAAAAAGAACAATAAACACAGATTGACTGACACACATTAGCAAGCTTGGGTCAAGGGAGGTTTGCCAAGTAGGGGAGAGACTTCAACAGTCATGCCACCCAAAACCAAAGAAGTAAATACTTCAAGTGGTGCATCAATTGAACTTAACACAAGCCCGCGTCCCTGCTGCGGCGTGGTGCACTGTAGCCGCTTGTTGAGTGTGCAAGCACCAGGGACTCTCCCGCAGGGAGAGGACTTGGGAATAATGAAGCGGTTCCGCTTGAGGGAATGTGCAAGCTTTGGTGGCAGTCGATGCTGTGAGCACCTGCAGCCCTTAGTTTTCAATGAGTTTTTTTTTTCTCTTCATAGTTTAAATCTTGTATTTTTCTCTATGGAACTGTCAATTCAGAAATTTACTTATGTATCCCCCTATGATAAAACAAATTCATGAAGCTTTGAGTTTCATGATTTTCCGAGGCCGCTGGCTAGCAAGGCCATGCCTTTTTTTGGAGTGCTCTTTTTTTCACAGCCCGTCTCTTTTTTTCCAATGTTCATGCCCAGTAAACCTTTCACATGCGTTCTGTTTCATACGAGGGTATGGCATTATCTCTCAACGGTCGATTGCCAAATTAAAAATTTAATTGGCTGATAGAGAAAACATTAACGGACCGAGAAACTTACAAGAATCAAATTTTTTCAAAAAAAGATAGAAAAATTACAATAGATACTGTGAGGAAACTGAATCGGCAGGATTCTGGACATCATACCAGCGCTCAGCTGGGATCAAACGATGAGAGCGATAAAAAATTGAATGATTTTAAAATTGAAAAAAAAGAATCCCTCCGCTTATTCTTGACATAGCCTCATGCCGACTTGTGTTGGTCAGGCATAAGCCCCGCTTGCACCTCACGCCTACGGGTGCTCGCGGGCTTTGTTACGCTCGTGCATCAATAGGCCGTGATGCATTTTCTTTTTGTCTAAAATACAAAAAAGGTGCAGTAACTGATAAGCAACACATGCCACCACATTGAAAAGCTTGGAATAGTGTCTCACAAGTACTACGGCAAAAAGGAGCGTCCCCGGACAGGATTGAACTGTCAACCTCTCGATGCGCCAATGATGATGGATGGTAACAGTCGAACGCGCTAACCAATTGCGCCACGGAGACTTGGATGTATGCGTCGGAGCCATTCCGAGGCTATATACCCATATCTGTCAGCCTAGTTTATAAGCCAGTCCTCGTCGGTCATGAGCCCACAGAACATTTCAAGCCAACCACCAAAGCAAACCAAGCACCAACGATGACCAACAACAGCAGCACACCAGCAGACCCAATCGAACAAAAGGAGACAACTAATGAACAACCAGAAACAAAAAACAATACCAACGGGGCAACAGGACCAGAACCAGAACCAGAGAATGATGAACAGACGAACGAGAGTAATGAATTGATCCAATCGAACAAATACCTCGACGGACTCATCTATCCCCCTCCCGAAATCAGAAGTAAGTGATCAGCCAACTGAACTGACACATTTTTCGATCGAAAAGAAACTGATCGATCTTGCATCTGTCTATCTAAAAAAAACAGGTATTGTCGATAAGACCGCCGCGTTTATTGCAAAGAACCAAAACCCCAAACTATGTAAGAAAGACTCCTATCGTCAGCATGTATCGAGTGATCATAAGTTGGCTCTAACTTTCTGTTTTCATCTTGCAGTCGAAGATAAAATTAGACAACGAGAGAAAACAGATTCCAGATTCTCATTTCTAAATCCAGATGATGCCTACAATCCATACTACCGACATCGGATCGAAATCATCAAGAATGGGGGTGACCCAACCCAACCAGCGAGCTCATCCAAGACCAATCCAACCAATTCAACCACCGCGCCTCCCAAGCCAGAGGACGCCGACAAACCACCAGAACCAACAGCATTACAATTCTTGATCGAACCTAGTCAGATGCCCAAAATCAATGCTGTCGATCTCGAGATCATCAAACTGACTGCCCTCTTCACCGCCCGTCTCGGCCGGAAATTCGTCACCGATCTCAGTCAACGAGAGTCGCGTAACTACCAATTCGATTTCCTCAGACCATCCCACTCCTTGTTCGCCTTCTTCAACAGACTCGTCGAACAGTACACTACCATCCTCATCCCTCCACCCGAGATGATCTCACGCTTGGAGAAATTTGCCGGCGGTCCACCAATCGATCGCAAACGATTAGATCTTGAGACGATCAACCAAACTCAGAAGAAACATACGACCATTGGTAGGCGGGCTGTGATGGCCGAGATCGAGAGCCGGATCAACTGGGAGAAATACCAAGGCTTACAACTCCAGAAGAGAACGAGTGAGGAGGAGAAGGAGAAGAAAGAGTTCAATGAGATCGATTGGGAGGACTTTATCGTCGTTAGTACGGTCGAGTTCACAGAGAATGATGAGGTGATCGATCTACCCCCACCGATGAGCATCAGTGAGGTCGAAAATATGACGATCGCACAGAAGAAGATGGCTGCAATGGTGATGGAGGGTAAAGATGTGAGCTCACTAACCGAGGAGCAACTGGCTTTGGAGGAATCCGCAAACGATCTGGAAGCCAATCAACTACTTGAGGACGCCAAGCGCTCAGCAGAGGAAGCCAAAGAACAGGCCGCCCAGCAAGCAAAAGCCGATGGATCGAAGGATGGCGAGGACGAGGAGAACAAAGTAACCGAGAGCAAACAAACTGCTGAGATCAAGAAACTGAACCCCACAGGAATGAAGATCCGTAAAGACTACGTACCCAAGGGCAAGCAAGGTTCCACCCAGCAGAACGGGGCAGTCGGCGGTAAGGTGATCACGACTCTCTGCCAGATTTGTGGTCAGCAGATTAACGTCAACGAGATTTCCGAACACGTTCGAATCGAACTTTTGGACCCAAGATGGAAGGAGAAGAAGCAAAAGACTGAACTGAACCGAAGCTCATCAAACATGTTAACACTTGGTTCGGACGTCTCCTCGTCACTCAGAGACTTGGCCAAATCCCGTTTGGATATCTTTGAGGAGAATGTCACGGAAGAAGAGAAACAGAGGCGAGAGGCAGAGCAGAAGAAGTTGAAACAATTGGCTAAGGAGAAATATACCTGGGACGGTCATCTCAACACCGGTGAACGAGTCACGAACATTTACCAGACTGGAGCCAACCTGGACGAGCAAATTCAAGCTCTCCATCGATCGAAAGGTTTGACGGGAGAATCCATACACTCTGGACCTCAGATCGGCCCCTTAGCAGGGGCTATGCCGCCTCAGCCACCCCCAGCTCAACCCAACCCCGCCTTACTACAACAGCAACGAGCCTTACAACTTCAACAACAGCAGATAGACCTACACATCCTCAACATTACTAGTGGGCTCACCGGCTCCGGTGCACCGATCCCACCCACCTCGGTCCATCATCAACCTTCGTTTGCCGGTGGGGCAACACTCTCGGCCGCCCCACAGCCTGTTTCATCTCGTCCTTCCCCCTTGATCGATCCCGGACGAGCGGCCATGATCAGCGGTTCGATGCACGCTGGTGCGACTCCACCGGTCTCGATTCCTCCCAACGGACTCGGTCCTCCATCGGAAGCCACGCCTCCGATCACGGTTACCCCGGCGACTGGGTCTGTTGAAGATGGCGGAACCCCCTCGATGGCTGGAGGCCCCAACGGGACGCCAAGTTTCCCGGTCTCTGCCGGACTGCCTGGTCGGCCGAATGTGCCGGACTTTGGGGCCGGCATCCCGGGTCCACAGCAGGCGAGTCCCCAGCCAGGATCGGGTATGAGTCCGGCTGCATTGACCCCGATGGCTGCACAACTGGCGATCGACAACATCACCAATCAAGTCAGTGGTGGAGCCGGCCTGGCTCGGCCGGCCGAGGACGACGGGCCAGAGGGCCAGCCCGGGGCCAAGAAGATCAAACTCAGTCCCGCGCCTACGGATGATCCTTCCCTCACTCTCCCCTCCGCTCCCATCAACTTGCCACCTCAGCCGGCCGTGCCTCAACTGTTCACTGAGGAACAGTGGATCGAAATGCATCCCGAACCGATCTCCCTGCTCATCAAACTGCCCGAATATCCCGATAAACCTGAGTGGGGTTGCGACGGAAGTGAGATTGTGTTGGAGGAACTTCCAATCACACTTTTGGTCGGCGTGTTACGTGATAAATTATCAGTTGAGTTTTTTTGTTTTTCCTCTTGACTTTCAACCATTATCTACAGTTTATTACCTACCGTTTATGTATGGAAGGGGAAAAGAGAAAAGAACTGATTTTTTGAATGATTATGTAGAACTTGAAAGGGATTCCAGTGGGTAGACAACAGATTAAATCAGCTAATAAGATCTTGCCTAATCAGGTCACTCTGGCTTCTTTAAACTTCAAGAGTGGTGATAAATTAAACTTGGCTATTAAGGAACAACGTAAAAAATAAATAAACAGAATAACATGAAATCAAAAAAAGAAACAAAAAATACGGATTTTTTTCTTTTCCCTTTTTTTGAGAAAAAAAAAATGACAAAAGGCGTGTTTAGTTTGAGAGGGCCTTATCTGAACACATAATTATATGAAAAAATGGGCTTGTATGGGTTAATCGATTCAAATGAGACATTGGTTTTTTCTTCTCTCTAAACTCCTGCGATTGCTAAGTTAGGATTTCCTTACTTATAATGTTATTTTCTGCTTGTAGTTGAACTAGAGAATCTCGATCTACAGCGCATTTTTTTAGGATCTCTTTACCAATGCATTTTTTTCTTTCTTTCTTACATCATGGTTTCCCCTCTGAGAGATTGAATTTAGATTGAGATTGTGTGCTGGGGTACATGATGCCCTTTTTACAGTGGTATGAAATGGGCCCACTTGGATACATATCCTACACAGGAGGATTGTTGTGAGGATATGAATATTCACGCAAGATAGGCCAGCTTCTGTTTACATACAACACAAGTGTGAAGCTGTAGGAGATGATAATCTGGGTTTTGATCAGTATGTGCAGACGCAACAAGAGATAAGGCTGGAAGTGCAGATAGTCAAGTATAGGCTAGGGTTTCTGTGCGGGCCGGCCAAGTTGAGAGTCCTATGTAGTTCAACAATAATCAGAAGGAAGAGAGGAGACACAAACGACCCTCAACCAACTAAACCACCCCCGACACTATCAGCATGACCACCACAACCAACCAACCAACATCGTCATCATCACCATCATCTCAGACACGAACGAGCACACAGCCCCTCCACCATCAGTCCAACATCCCATCCACTTCAGATGAGAATGTGTCAGTCTTCACAAATACATGACCTCTCAATACAGCTGGCTCCCTTTCTGACCCTCCCTGCTTCTGTTTGTTTCTGGTCTATTGGGAAACGACGGATATTATCGGACGGCTTCTTAGGTTCTTATTTCTACCCAATTTGATAGGTCAGTATTCTATTTTTGTTGATCTCAAAAAGACGAGAAAGAGAAAAAAAAAAAAACAAGCAGATCTGATTGATTTAAACAAAACACTTGACCTCGAAAAAAACAGGGTATACACGGATAATCTTAGCAGCAGTTTCGTTACACTTCATGTCATATCACCCGATCTATTGCACGATCGCCTACATCATCTCCCAACTACTCGATGCGGTTGATGGGCAAGTGGCGCGGATGTTGGGACAGACGAGTAAGTTTGGAGCGGTTCTGGATATGGTCACCGATCGGTAAGAAACAAACCGCGCCTTTTTGTTTTTCCTTTTTGCTTTCTTTCGACGGGATGGCCAATGCAACAGACACTGATAGCCCATTGTCGGCCCCTCCTACTCTCTCCTTTTGAAATGATCGGTCTAATGTTGGTGGGAGTAGATGTACGACTAGCTGTCTGTTGTGTTTTCTGAGCTCGGTTTATCCTCAATGGGCGATCATGTTTCAATCGTTGATTGCATTGGACTTTGCTAGTCATTATATTCACATGTATAGGTTAGTTGGCAATTCTTCATCTTCTGATCATTCTTAATCGATCACTCACTGTTCCTTTTTTTAACTCAAATAGCTCAATGGTCGCTGGATCTAAATCTCATAAGACCGTCTCCAAGAAACAAAGTAGAATCTTACATTCTTACTATACAAATTCAGTCAGTAATCTTCTTTTCCTAAAACAACCGAGAAAGATCAAATCAAGATTTTTACATTGACACTAACCAAAAAAATACACATACACACACACACACACCCGGATGAAAAGAATACATTGTTTTTATTTTGTGCAGGAAACGAGCTCTTCTTTGTGTGTTTATATCTAGCGCATTGGTACGCCGAACCGCTACTGAAAGGACACGAATACCGCTCATTATCAAGATCGATGACGAGGACGGATCGGATGATCAATTCGATCACCTTGCCCCAATTGATCGCCGTCTTGACCTTCCCGATCTGTGCGGGAAAACAGATCATCAACGTCGTCCAGTTCTGGAAGGCTAGCAAGAGCATCGTCGAGTCCGATCTCGAGGATCGTTGGAAGGCTCGCCAAAAGAAATCTTAGAACTCGGTCCTACAACTACCTTACTTCAAAAATCCTTACCCACTTAGCATCTTCTTTTTATTCTCATATTCTTCGTTTTCCCTTCATCGATTTCCTTTCGAGTCTTAATCCTTTTTTCCCTCTTCTTCTTTTTTGATCTGTCCTATGTAATGAAAAGAAGTACCCTCTTTTTCTCTCCCTCTCCCATCCTCTCTCTCTCTCTCACACACTATCTTCTCTTATCTTATCTTCCACCTCACTCTTCTCCCATACAATTTGCTTCCTTGACACTAAATGAAATCTTTTGATCTTCAAATCACATGTTTTAACTCCCTTATCTTTCCAATCTATATGAATACATACAAGATGAACATATATTTCAAGCTGATTTCCTTTCTTTTTTTCTCTTTTTATTTTTTTTGGTTGTTTTGTGTTTCTGATCTGAATATTGATTATCACCATTTTACTTCCTTTTTTGAATCGGTTCGGTATACATTAAACAGATAGAAAGATGCATACATATACAAATGCCTTGGATTTTTTCCTTTTTTTTTCTTTCTGAGAATAATAAATAAGTGATTTTCAAGTCCATCCTCATTGAGAATTAAGCCGGATTGGAATGCATGTCTATAAGCAATACATAGATAGATGGTTAAGCAAGATTCTTCTCTCTGGAGAAAAATGTGAATCTGAAAATGCTGGATCATTAATCATGAAAATAAAGCAATCAGGGTAACCGTGGTCGCCAGGATGCTCTCCGTAGCAGATGGTTACCCCCAAAAGATCACCCAACTACTTGTAGGAGCAGGAATGGTGATCACAGTGGATTCAGAAAAAACACCCAACACACTCATTCTTGGTCGACATTGGAGTCCCTAAAACCTACGAAGGAAACGCTGGGCAAGCTTGGACCACTGCCTCTCGTCCTCATTGGTACACCTCCATCCTACCCATAGCCCAAGATTCAGCTGCTATAGATACATGCCTCAAGTCCCTTCCTTCGGGAAGCGCCTAGGAAGGGACTTCCGATTAGTCCCAAACTCAACCTGGACATCCGTTTTTGTGATTGTGCCGACTTCGAGTTCCTGTCCGTGAGACCAAGCTATAACGCCGGAACCAGAAATCTGCGAGATTGTGTCTAAAATGTCATTCTCTGGTCTTGTTTTTTTTTCCTGGCCAGGGTTAGGATGAGGTCTATAATGGCTCTCGCTTCGGGCCTCGACAAAGGAAAGGCTAAATAATCGGCAAGGGGATACACCAGTCCGATGGAATATGTAACCCCTCTCCCAATCTATGAGAATGAGCGAAGTAAGTGCTATATACTATCGAGCCCATCCGACGTCCCTGCCCTGATACGGGTCCCCTCCCCCTGAGCTCTGGATGGGAAGTCTTGTGATGACTGGCTGTTTTTAGCTTTTTTTTTTTTTTTCGATTGATCCCGTCAGATCCCGTCTCATTTGTCCACCGAGAGACAGTGCCGGGGTAGGACTCCTGCTGTGTCTTACATAGAGTGGCCAGGAACCCTGCTGGCTTACAATACAGGTGATGAATTGGGATGGTCGACCTTTTCACGAAAAAGCTGTTGACCATATCCGTCGGGGATCAGTGCCGGATTCAGATAGTCTGCTCCCCCCCTGCTCTGCTCTGGATGGCTTACCAGAGGAATGAGGGGAGGAATCCGCAGAATGATGTCATCGATGACGATCGAACTTCACAGTGGCGATCCCAGTAGGATGGTGAGTGAGAAGATCCCCTTACATACTTGAGGATTGAGCTCGGCTCTCCAATTCCATCCAACAGCTGCTGCAAACATCCCTTGCCCTTCTCTGTCTCACTCCCCAAATATCATCATTGACCACCACTCAGATTAAATAAAAGCCCTCCCAACTCACAAGCAGCTTATTCCATCAACAACTTACCCAGAGAAAAAGATAGATAGATTTATACAATCCCAAAGATGTCCAACGCCATCTCTTCTCCATCGGCCCTCTTTACCACTCAAGCCTATTCCACCCACATCCAACTCCTTTCCATTGCCCGTCTAGGACTCGGTCTGGGCGCATTCATCGCCCCCGCCCTGTTCACTCAAAAGTACTTGCTCACTCTCTTCATGGCCGGATTCACCATCTGTCTTTTCTGAGTGCTGACCTTGGATCTGCATCCATTCTAGTATCTTTGGATTCACCAAGACTCGGGATGTGACCAGTAACAACAACAGCTCTAGCCCATCTGCTGGGAGTGCCGAGGAACTCTCGATCGCTGTCCGGTTAGTAATCTTCCTTCTCTCATTCCTATACTTCGAGATCCCTCTCTTGTTGATGGAGGGAAGAAAAAGCTGATCTGATCGAACGGTTCTCCAGTCTTTTCGGCGCACGGGACATTGGACTCGGCCTACTCTTGCGAGACTCGGCATCAGCGGTGGTCGAACGAGGACTCCAGATGGGCTGTTTGGCGGATATCTTGAGTGTCTGCGGCGCTGGATTCGGATTTATCGAGGTGCGTAGAGACTTGCTCTTCTTGAGAACTGTCTACATCATCGATCATCGATCGCTGGATAGGAAGAAATTGACTGGGCTTTCATATCTATCCTTATATGAACAGGGAACCTTGAGTCAAGAAGTGGCTACTGGAGTCGGTCTCGTCGGCTTAGTCTTGGCTGGATTCCAGGCTTACATCTTAAACAAGTGATCACCCCTACCTCATTTTTTTTAAAATGAAAAATAGCAGTAGAACCTCTTCAGCATTTTGTAATTCAACCCAAATAATCCAAAACTTAAAACCAAAAACTAAAAATTACTTCTGAAAAGTATAGTTAATTGTATCTTGTGTTGAATTTTGCTTGGCTCGCTGAGCAATATTTAAAAAGATGGTTTGTCCATCTCTCGCCGGTACCAGGTTACAACATACCCGGTGTCTTTGATCTGCTGGTGAACCTGAGCATCGCGGCATCAGCCATACACATGCGCATACAACAGTTGAGTCTCCAGTCAATTCGTCAAGATTGAGTTGCTCTGCAGTCTAACACACTCTCTGAAGACCCACTGTGCTCTTGACATTGACTAAGCATGAAAATGACCTTGAGGATGATCGGCCATGAGTGCTTGTTTGGGATCAAGATTTCTTCAAGATGACCAGTACTGTCCATAAAACCTTTGAGGAATAGCCTGGTTCAAAGTAAGCATCGGCAGGGAAGGAAGGGAGTGAAAGGGTGTGTGTTGCTCATGGCCATCGGTATACCCAGCCAAGTCGGGCAACCAGACTATCCTTAAGTTAGGACAACGGTCAGCGAACAACGCTTCGCTTCAACAACATTAAACACAGCAGTCAACACAAGTTCAAATCCACTCGCAGTCACTTCCGGATCTGAAACATTACTATTAAGAGTCTGGAAGGCATCATGAAACTCTCAACCGCCATACTGGCTCTGGTCCTTGCGGGCTTCTCCAACGCCGAGGAATTGATCCAGTGCATCACATGCAAAACCTTTTCCGGAGTGATTCGTGAAAAAGAGATACATTTATGTGGGTACTCCGGACGCTTGATGGCCAACAATGAAGTGTGTGAAGAACTGCGTGAAAAGGTGCACGTCCACTGCACCAATATTCCGGAATGTGGACAGTACTTCTCGATGAATGCTGAGCCGGACCAAAACACTAAAACAATGCTGAAGAAGTGCGAACATCAGAACTCAATCATCCTTACCCCTTATTCGAGTACTTCCCATTCTGAGCCTCTCCTCAACCTGCTTGTTTGAGCAGTCTGTAGCGTACATTGACAAACAAAACAAACTCAAATCTTGCATGGTTGTACTTACTGTAGATGGGCATATAAGTTGGCCTGCATACATAATATGTATGTGCCTCATTGTTTTGGATAGAGTTGGCACGTTTGCACCCATTGGTGGGTATGTACCCAACACCCTAATTCAGAAGGTATCTGGGTGGCTTTTCATGTTGGAAAATAGTTTGAACAGCAAGATGCATATTCAGTTTGAGTGCCGCAACCACAGCAAAGTGCTAGTCATCACCTTCAAGTCCAAAGCCCCCAGATCTGATTTTCACCATCTTACCAGCTTTTTGTGTCTTACTCCATCAAACATTAACACAAGCAAGCCCTCAATTGACTTTCAAACAACATCCCAAATTGCAAGTCTGGATTCTGAAACACAACCCTTGATTTAAATTCACAAGATTCAGGAGGAACCTGATCTAGACTCAAGTGGAGGTACACAATCTCCTTTCTCTTTTCCTATTTCTTTGATTTTAGAGATGTCGCTTGATACCCGGGTACCTGTAGCGGGTGCGGGTACCTGCCCCAAAAATCCAATATTTTTGGCACCCGCACCCGCACCCGCACCTGCTAGGGCCGCCAGGGTGGGTACCTGGGTACCTGCACCGGGTACCTGCGGGTACCTGGCACATTTTTGCAGGCAAATATGCCCAGAAGTCTCACCCTTGAATTTCTGCATGACTTGGTAAATATAATATTGATATCCACTAGATATATGAGTAAGAATAAAAGAAAGATAAAGAAATAAAGAAAAACAAATTATCTTCTCTCTGATCTATCTTTAGCTTTACCCTTTTGCTTGGCTTCATTTGCCTTCTTCAATTTCCATTGATGCAATACCCCAGGTTTTATTTTCCCATTCTTGGAGTAAAATGACACAGCCATACCTCTAGTGACTGATGAGTGGTTGAGTCGGTGCCTCCTGAGGGAAACATATTCCCTTCCAAAGCTGAAAGATCGCTCAACATCCACCGTTGTTGCTGTGGTATATTTAAGGGAATTGGTACAGAAATACAATACAAAGATATGATAGAAGAAAAACTCACCCGGACAGCTTAACACATCAAGGGCCATCTGTAGCAGACCCCCGTGAGTATTCCCAACATGCCGTTGTTGCATCCACCATTTGAGGGGATCCACCGGCCGTTCGTCTTTGGTTAAGGTCAAACCTTCAGCAAGCCACAAGAGAATTGGATCCATCGGGTTTGTCCCTCCACGAGCTACTTTTGCACCAACCAAACCCGCAAGAACTCCTTTCTGAGGCTGTATTCCATTTTGAAACAAAGTATTAGCTACAATTTTTGACAGAGTAGGAAAATGATAAGCAGTGCATATCCCATTTAATCACCTTTGGACAGGTGTTTGATTGTTGTGACATGGTTGCCTGAGGTGCTGGTGGAGGTTTGTAGTGATTTTCCCACATCTCACGGGTTAGTCTGATTGATTCTTCGATCCATTCTGGTTCCCATTGAGCAAGTTTGAAGTATTTGTCTTTGAAAGAAGGATGGAGGACTGTAGAGTAACCATTAGTTTACTGTGATGTCAGCAGTAATAATGAAACAGAAAAACTTACCCATAGCAACCCGGTATAACGGTGAGCAGTCTGTCAGAGTATAGTACTTATTAGTGATATGAAGTCCAGCACGACAAGCATTTCTAATGGCAGGGGGGTAATCGTCCCGTTTATCGGAGATGGCAGAAGAAAGATGGCTAGTGATCTGGTCAATGAAGACAACAATGTCGGCAATTCGAGCTGCACCGGCAGTGGAGACCTGGAGGGTGATTTCGTAGAAGGGTTGAAGAAGCTCGACCAGGTCACGCGCTAAGTCAAGATTGTTTTGGTTGATGTGATGAGATCGAGCAGGACCGTGACGTTTATCCTTCTGCCACTCAAGGCTTAAAATTACAATTAACATATCTTATCAGCACTGATCATCTGATCGGTGAGGAGTTGAGTAGGAAACAAAAAACTCACATTGCTGCTGAGCATTGCAGGATACCTGACAATTGTTCAAAAGTTGAATTCCACCGTGTGCAAACGTCACGAGTGATATTGTGTGGCGTTGAACACTCAAGATCACCACAGATCTCTTTGAAAAGAGCCTTGGAATTAGGAGACTTGTTTAATTTCCTGGAAATTGCTCAGAACTGATTTTGAAAGTTTGATGATCATTAAAGTCAGTAGGCAATCAAATTATTCATCAGATGGAGATGTTTGCTTACTTTGGATAATGACTCCTTGCATGATTGGGTAGTATATTGGTCCTCTTCCCCCTCATCACTCAAGTCATTCAAATCATCATCCTCCAGTTCAACCTCGTCATCACCAATTAGATTAGAAGCTAGGGGCGCATCGTCATCAGTTTCTTCATCGTCATCTTCATTGTTGTTGTCTCCTGAAATGCCTTCGTTAAACCTACCCACAGAAAAATAAGTTACAAAAATCTAGATAAGGCTCATAATCTCATGAAACCTTACAATTTAATTTGCTCATCTGGATCATCTGGCTCGACATCTGTCTCGTCATTGTCGGAGTCTAAGTACTCATGGGGCGATGTGGAACTACTCTTTGGTGGGAATAGAGCTTAGAGAGGGATGAGAGCTTGAAGGGCTGCCTCTCTGGTTACTGGGAGAGTAAGAAGAACAAGAAATAAGAGTATGGAATCTTAAAGAAAGGTGTGGCTAAATGAAGATGTAAGATTTGTAAAAGGGTAAGGTATGAGGATAATAAGTCTGTGTTAAATGTCTTAATTCTGTAATGCTAAATATATTCCAAGTAAGTAATGCTAAATCAAAATGACCAGGGAGCAATAATGACAACTCTGATGGGGGACAAATGGCAAGGGCCAAGAGAGCACTAAATATAAGTCTTCTGGGGGAAATAAGAAAACAAGGAGCAAGGCATCATCACAGGGTACATGTAACAAGGCAACAACATGGCTTGGGAGACAGGCTTGGGAATGGCATGTGTAACAAGGGTGAAACAAGGCTGAAGCAACAGGGATAGAAACATGACATAAGTGGCTACTGTAGTAAATTGCCATGGTATGTAAAGAAGGAAAACAAAGCTGATGAAGAGAAGGGGTCTTTCCTAATAGTCTGGCTCTCTATGCTGGTGGACTTTCTCCCACTTTTTACCTGATTTGTATTTATTTTATTACCAATTGTGGCTGGTGATCCATGTAGAGTGTCACTGATGGGTTGTTGGCCTTTGTGGTTCTGATGGAAGTGTCTGTGGGATGATTGAAGGTGGCCATGAGGGTATTACATATGTAGAATGTTGATTTGAGGGTTGTTATGATATGTAATTGATGTGAAATGGGTCCAGAAAGGTGTTTGTAGAGTGTGACTGATTTTGATTGGTCTTACCACAGCGAGGCGCCAGCATTGTTCTTGCGCTTGTTGCTTCCAAAGGGTCTCAAGATGGCCTGAGCTATGAGGTTGAGAATGTGAGCAAAACAGCGAATCCATTGGCCTTCACCTTTCAACCGCGGCCATTTGTATGATCTCAAATCTTCAATCATTGTCTTGTTGTTACTGGCATTGTCTGTCACAATACCACATATCTACAAAGGAATAATAAGCCAATTAAAAAACCAGAAATTGTTGAATGGAAATAAAAAAAAGCAAGACTGGAAATTTGGAATTTATAGAGTCTAAGAGTACCTTATCCTTCACTCCAAACTTCTCAACAATCAGATCAACAGTTACTGCCAAATACACACCAGTGTGGCTTTGTTGCAGCTTGACAAAGTCAAGAGGCATTGACTCCAAGCGGAAATCAGCCCCTTCTTCGACCAGACGGTATATCACCAACCCTAATACATCAAACCCATTTGGGGACTGCCAGACATCTAATCCCAAGTACATTGCACCCTTATGATCCTGAGCCAATAAATTTAAATTAGAAATCATGATTAGTATTGAAACCCTCAGATGTCAGACAGAAGAGGTATGTGTTTGGATTTAAGATAGAAGATGTACAACTAACCTTAAGCGATTCTATTATACTCTCCTGCACAGCTGTGTACAAGCAACCTATGTCATCTGATACTGACCTTTGACCCGGTAGGTTCTTGACAACAACCGGGTGTAAGATGCCTCGATGCGCCTGTTCACTGAGAGCTGAGAAAGGGTGGGCTGATTGAGCACACCAGATGGCACATAGCTGGGGTACCTGCAATAAAATGATTTAATCAAATGATCAAGTCATTTTCAGTCAAAAATTTCATTCAATCTGTCCTGGTGAGGTCAAAGATTCAGAATTTCAGCTGGGTGGGTAAAAGTAAATGCACTCACCTCTCGTGGATCAATATCGCCGGTCCCGGAGATCCCAAACGCTGACAGCTTCTGATTCTCACTAGCCTCCTTTTGTCTCTTCATACAACTTGCCACATGCTTACATAAATTTGTTGGGGAAGTGTCGTGGACTGGTCAGTGTATTTTGGTGCCACAGCTGAAAAAAAAAGCAAGAAATTAGGTTGATTTGGCTGGACACTGACCAATCAATGAAGGGAGATGTGCTTACGTTTTACACGGGTAAGCAATCATGCAACGACCATTATTGTCTAGTAGATCGGAGAGTTGTGGGGTCTTGTATGCAGCATAACTGGCACTCTGACGATTCGCATGTAATCTCCGGGCTTTTTCTGGAAAGACAAAGAGGAAAATAATGTCAGTTTATGTTATTTTTGATCAATCATTGTGTGAGGGTGGAACAAATTGTAGATTGGCAAAGGGCCCAAAGAGTTGGAAGAGTTGAGGATGCAGAGGGGGGGGGGGCAGCAGGCATGAGCAGTCCGGGTAGGTTGGGATTGTTAGGGCCGGTTGCGGAGGAGGAAGAGGATGTGGGAGGAGGCGGTAGTGGGATGTTGGGTGGAGGGGTCTCTGGGCTGTCTCTCTGTTAGAATCCTGATTCTCAGCCCCTTTGTGCTTCTGAACCTCTTCTTTCAAATAATCTAATAGCATTACAATTGTCAGTAAGAATCTAAATAAAAGGTTCTCAAGATTGATTTGATCACTCACCTAGCTCGTCAGTTAGAAGGTCGATTTTACGTTGGTTGGCTTGTCGCTCTTCGCGCAAGTCAGCAGATAAGCTCGACATCAAGAACTTCTCCTCTAGGGCATTAAGGTCAGTCTGATGCTGTAGCTTGAGCATCTCGATCTTCTCCTCATAGCTGCTTTTGATCTTTGCCAGCTATGCAGAAAGGGGATATAGTGGTCAGCATTAAAAAAAACCATCCCATCGAAACGGGTCGAATCACTTACTTCTGAGCGATATGTGATCGTCGAATCCCCATCCGGAGTGCCGCTCTTTGGGCCGCCCGAGGTCTCAGGATTGGCGGTGATAGCCTCGATCTGTTTCTGATGATTGAGCTTGATCTCATTGATCTCCGCCAGATGTTTCTCTTGCAGGGCACTGAGGTTACTCTTGAATTTGCGGGTCCGACGTAAATCTAATTCGGTGAGGGAAGCAACCAAGATCTCTTTGTGTTTGGCCTTGAGGTTGTTAATCTGGTCCTCATGACGGGAATCCATGGACTTGATCTGCTCGGTGTGTTGCAAGATTAAGTCGCTCTTCTCGGCCTTGAACTTTGTACGTTCTTCTTCCAATCAATTGGTCATCGAGCTCCGCAATTCATCCAATTTGTCATGATGATCACGAATCAATTTTTCCATTGTATTGTTCCCCTGATTTGCTCTCGAAGAGAGCGTCGTCGTCAATCGGATTACCTTGCTGGCCATAATTGTGCTTGTCGTCCGTCCAACACAGCCCGGCGCATACGCTCGCTTCACCCGTCGCACCGATCCAACTCCAATGACAAGTAAAAAAAAGGAAAAAGGCTTACTCAGTTCTTGCTCGTCTGAGCGTGAGGCCTCCTTTGAGTTTTGAGTACTGGCCGGCGTTTCTGAGTTGGAGACCTCTTGGCTGTCGCCCGATTCGGATCCGTCATCTCCTTCGATTACAGTTTTTTTTTTGTTTCAGATCGCTGCTGGGATGCTGGAAACAGAAGAGGTTCTGGATCCAGGAGGGTTTGGCCGCTTTGTGGTGCTCCCCATGGTGGTGTCGTTGGGTGAGATGGTGACCAGAAGGGAGGATTGGAGAGGGGGAGTCCAGTCGATTGAGGACTTGGGAAGATTTCAAATTCTCAAGGGAAGTATTTTCCCAGGGCGGGTGCCAGGCGGGTACCTGCTCCGGGTACCCGCCGTTTTTCTGGGCCAAAACTTGGCACCCGCACCCGCACCCAGCACCCGCGGGTGGGTACCCGCTCAGCAAAACAGGTACCTGTTGCCATCTCTATTTGATTTATTGTCTTCTGCATTTCTTTCCTTGTTTATAACCTTGTTATTGACTTATTTTATTATTTCAGGCTTGTTTGTTCTTTACCATTTCTATCTCCTTTTCATAATTATTTTCAAGAAGAATCTCTTTTGGGTTAAGTAAGGATCTGACATATAAGAAGTGTCAACTACGACTACCATTAGAAAACTTTTGCTGCGATAAAGTTAAAGAACCCAAATTCCTACATTTCAGGTACCCATGACTGGTGCTGATCTACTTCCTTGAGTTTTGACTAAAATAGAACACCCCTCACCTGCCATGGTAGCCTGCAGGGCACACAGAGAGCTGCTGAAGGGTGGCGGGTGCAAAAGTGCCATCTCTATTTTTGTAAGCTTTGTTTTGGGGACCACATGCCTTTCAAATCTGATGAAATGCAAAGATATTGACCAACCACACTGGGGGTTTTGTGGAATCACATTTCATGGCCCATAAGTAATATCATGCAAAAACATATGGTGTAAAATGGCTGAATTGGGGTCTAAACAGGTTTTTGTTTCAAGCCATATTTTTGGGGGAAGAAAGTGTTAGAGGATTGTGTATTTAACCTCTTTCACAGTACTGAATAGAAGTAGAGATGATTAATTAAAATAATAGATAGAGACCTGATGCCATCCTTAGTACAACCTTGATGCTTCCATTTGGCACCCTTGCACTAAAGCTACAAGTACACACTTCAACCGCAAGCCACCCTGATGTGGCCAACAGGTAGTCACTATTTTAGTTTAACAATAGTTGCAAGTCAAAACTTACTTGGATTCAGCTCAACCAATGCGGAAGCTCTCAGTGGGTTTTTGACATGTTCCACTGTGCTTGTGCAAAAATGGGACAATTTTCATTCTTGGCTCAAGTATGATGGAGAGACAGGGAGAAAACACAATTCAAAAATATAAGGTTATATGTATGCAGGCCAATTTTGACCATCCTGGATATGTAAAACTATGCATGATTTGAGTTTCTTTGTTTTTTGATGGATATTACAGACTGATCAATCAAGGAAGTTGAGGAGTGGAACAGATTTAGAGGTGGAAGAATAAGGGGATAGGGTAATTATGTTCTGATGGTCACACTTTTTGCAACAATTTGGTGTCATTCTATTGGGCTCGGCATTCATTGAGAAGAACTGTCCACATTTGGGATTAGTGCATTGGAAGTAAACCTTTTCACGCAGTTCATCACAAGCTGGTTTGTTGGGCTCGGAGTACCCACAGAAATGTATACAATCTAGTTCATCATCGTCACATTTAACACCAGAAGCGGCTTTGCAAGTGACACATTCCATCAGATCCTCGGCGTCGGAGAATCCCACAAGGGCTAGAGCCAGTATGTTGGTGTAGATTATGGTGGAGAGTTTCATGATGCTTCCTAGATTTTGGTAGTGTTTCAAGTCTGGAAATGACTGCGAATGGAATCGAACTCGTGTTGACTGTTGCGTTTGAGGTTGATTCAGGGGAGGGTTGTTTGCTCACAGTTGACCTAGTGTAACGTTTGAGGTTTTAGTTAACAAATTCTTTTATTTATCGGTAAAACTTACTGATTTAGTAGCTACATACTTACTATATTTAATAGTTAGTTATTATGTGAATGTGTTATAATTAGTGGATTTCATTATAATGTTCCTGATTTCATTATAAGTTGATTCGGTTGTTGTTTTCTTTGTTATTATATATATGATTGTTGTTTCTCTTTCGTGTCTTTTCCTTTCTTTCCTCATCGCGATTTTCTTTGTTTTATTTATCATCATTACATCTCGATCTTCGAAATAAAAAGTCTTAAATTCTTTTCCTTATAAAACCCTTCAACAGTTTATCTTTCTTTGGAAAGTAAACTACCCTCTACTCTTTCGTAATATAGACGGTTTACTCTCTTGAGTAAACCTATAGTCATTCAAGAAAGGAAAGTAGTAGGCGGGCTCTCACACCTAGGTTGTGGACAAGGTGGATGGCCAACTTTGCTGAGTACAGCGATGGCCAGCAACAGGCACACTTTCCTTCCCTCCCTTCCCCACCGATGCTTAGTTTGATGCAGACTGTTCCCAATGGGTTTTATGAACATCAGAAGGTACTGATCATCTTGAGGAGATCTTAATCCCAAACAAGTACTCGTGCCTAATCATCCTCACGGCCATTTTCATGCCAAGTCAATGCCCAGAGCGCAGTGACTCTTCAAAGAGTGTGCTAGACAGTAGAGTAACTTACTCTAGACAAATCGGCTAGAGACTCGACTGCTGTATGCACATGTTTTTGATTGAAGCCGCGATCTGAGAGGTCAGACAGTTGTCCAAATAAGCTCCCATCTCATGTCCAAGACTTGCAGGACACAAGAATTGATTCATTTGATTCCTTGATTCCTGTTTCCTAACAAAATCCAGTCGACCACTCTTTGGGAAAGTTGTTCATACACTGATCAATATGAGCGAAAATGTTTAAAAAAGGGTATTGAAAAACTGGATGATCTGTGTCTACTCGTCGGCTGCGTTAAAGTCACCCCCATCCATGTCACTGTTTTTATTATCATCATTGTGAATACGATCAGTTTGCGGAAGAAAACAGACCATGATGCAAGAAGAGGTACTCACTGTGGTTCCTTGGGTTCCTCGTGTTCACCATATTGAATGGCATGATCGATGTGGCTCAGAATTGATCCAATACTCTCGTCATCAGTAATATCTAATGGTAAAAAAGAGACCATGTTGAAATCTTGTATCTGAGACAAACCTCCAGACCAAAGTCAGCTGCTGTGAGGAACCGTAGAAAGATAAAATGACAAACCAGATGACTGATGGCTTGGTTGAGACTATGAAACTTCGGGTTGGTTTTTTCGTTTACTTCACCCAACAAGAGATCAGGATCAGGGTCTAAATAACGCTCGAGTTCTTTCGGGCCGATTTGGGCGATCGTGCCTGCAGCCGTCCTTCCAGTTTTGAAGAGATCCATCTTCGACAGTACGTTAATGTGTGGAATCTCCAGGTTGATCATCGCCGATGTTGCTGATAGAACTCCAGAGAAAAACTTGGGTCGGTCTGCTATAAAATTTGATTCGAGGAGATAGGTCTTTTTCACAGATATTTCGGCTTGTGAGCTTCCAGTATAGCACGATTCATAGGCTTAAGGTTTAATAACTGACTGCACACAGTCGGAAATCGAACTCCATCGTCAAAACTTGGACAATCTTTTGCATTATGTTGAAGTGTGTATAGAGCTCTATTTGACCAGGACAATCGATAATCAAGAAGTCGTCGTCATATGAGTTTAGGTTTTCTTGTAGCCAGTCCAAATTTTTAAGCAAGTATCTAAAAATAAGAAGAAAGTCGACGTTAACTTGGTTCTTACTTTCAGATCGATCAAGAGTTTGACTCAACTCAAAACAATAAACGAGGCCCCCGTTGGGACCTAATTCCAGTTCTTCCATCACATCTTCAAGTGAGATCAAATCCCTAATATCTAGCAAGAAATGTGATCAAGTCAAGTTCAGAAAGGAATTGGTTTTTTGAATAGAGAATGCTAGTGACAAGAAGCTGAGTTTTTTTTTTTCACAGATTGGATCAATTTGAGTTTTATGGACTGACCGATTGAGGGTTCATATTCAAATTCCTCAGCAGCTGGGTCCAAGTTAAAGAGATGAATTGGCCGTCCGATCGTTTGAGCATGGGTGATTAGAGTAGATGAAAAAGTCGACTTTCCCGATCCTGCTGGACCTGTTATGAACCGTTAAACAGTCAGAACATCAAAAATTTCGTTAGTAAAATATTAGAGTGAAGGTTGAAAAAATAGGGCATATCAATCAGGTCGATATGGGACTGACCACATACTAAGACCGCGTAGCGCATTTCTCCGGCAAATCTTGTCGATGGCCTGCGTTTTCAAGCTGTCGGTTGTTGGTCAGGTGGCCTTGAATGTGGGGTGTGGACAGTTTGACTTCGATTTGAATCCGATAAACGCGATGGCCAGGGTACAAAATGGACCGCACGCCACTTGCAATCGAAAATTTTAATTCCGGAGAGCGCTGCGGCGTGTGGCTATGCTGCGGACTTAACGCTCAAGGGTTAATCTGCCAAACTTAACAAAGCCGCTGCTGACTGCCGACTGCGGTAGAGTTTGACCTCGCGAAGCGAGCGTCTGTCAAACTCTGGACTCTGGGCTGGTAAAACCATTCAACAAGGTTCCAGTAACAACACCAATTTCCTCAAATGTTCTAGGTGTAAACTGGTGACAGTTAATCAAACATAATCTTTCTCATAGTAAAATTCTTTGAATTGAGGGGAAATTGGGCCTATCAACCCATGTCTCCTGTTGACATGTAGTATAAGATTTCATGTTCCAAAAGCCTGGCACCATCCAAATATTTGACAATACTCATAGTCATTGAAGGCACTGTAGCCTAGCACTTACCAATTCATCTGGTCCTTTCAATGCCAATCAAAATTCTATATCCCCTTTCTTGGCTAGAGTTTCAACATTTATTCACTAAGAAAATCTATGTGAAAGGTGTGATATGATGGTAGTTCACATTGGGAACTTGGAAATCAGTTCTCTGATGCTGATGTTAGCATTTACATCAATTTTCTCATTCATCAGAAACATTTATAACACCTCAATCTCAATGGAACCTCCCTACTAAAGTTTTGTGTCCAAGGTTTATACAACATCAATATGAGTATGAAACATCATAGGAACCCTTTCATCTGATTTTTTCAAAAAATGAGGTCAGGTTTCACCACTTGCAGTGCACTTCTAACCAGCAAATGTACATAGACCCATCCATTCAAAGGAACCACTAATCTTTATTTGGGCAGCACAATTGATTTTATGTGTGAAGAAAGGATAGAATATTGACTAGATGAAGGACTTCCAATTGAGATCTGTAGACTGTAAAAATCAGAGCTTCTGAAATCGGATTTTACAAGTTGGTTTGTTTAGAGACGCTTTGGTTTGATTCTTCAGCCCCTATGGAACCAACTGTTAGCTGTCCTCCATCAGCTATGAAAACGGACTGGATCAGGCATGTGAAAAGGAATATGATTGTACACGTTTGATGTGAAGAAATAAACCGAAAGAGAATCAAAAAGAGCAGCCATTCCGGACCGTTTCTGTCGTGCTCCTAGTATACAGTTCAATCAAAATGGAGATAGAATTGCGAAAGAAGGGATATTAGTAATCAACTCTAAGTATGTGGGGGCAAGGAAGATTTCAATCGGAATACTAACATTCACTTGTTCCTGCTCAGACCTGATAGGTACAATACCGTAAAGGTTTAGGTATGTTTTAATAGCAGGAGTAGGTAAACAATGAGAGTTCAAAAAGGGTGTTAAAAAGGGTATTGATTTTGAAAAATCAGAGTCGGTCAACCTGATAAGCCACAGATAGAATAGTCTTGGCTTGCGAGTTTCATTCTGTTAATAAACTTACACGTAAATGTAATGGTACAATACAAGAAAAGCCTGACAACATTAAACAAATCCCCCGCTCAATTCTTTGTTCCGTGGTGTCGATATATTGTCAAAACAAAGAGAGAAAGCCCCGATTAGACAATTGAATGAGGTATGGTATGAATATATGGAAAGCCGACTAACCGGAGTCGCTTCCGAGACCCCCAAGCGTTTTGCCTTCGGCTCATCTGGGTGAACTCGAGAAGCCAGGAGCCTACGGCCCTTCTCGGCCATCAACTCCATTCCTTTCGATGTGAAACGATATGAGTGCTTGAGACTGGAAGTGAGGTCGGGAATTTGGCGAGCCTCTCGAAGACAAACGACTAGACAGCACTTCGGCGTGGAACTAAAGGCTCCGAATCGCATTCCGGTGGAACACTTGTGGGCGTGGCCAGATAGTGAAGAGGGAACTGGGGGAGCGTGGGGAGAAGCGTCCATGGTAGGCATCAAAGGTGGAAAAAAGGATGAGGGGTATAGGTGACTCAGGAGGGAAACTTTGACGGAATTCGTGGGTAAAAACGTATATCTATCGAAGTGCTGAGTGTTGGATTGGGACTGTTAGAGGGGGAACACTTGAATCCCGAATAGTTCGCAGTGAAGCCCTAGAAATAATGTGTGAGGAAATGAAGATACATAGGCGTTATGAGGAGCCCAGTAACTTTTAGCCGCGTGATTTGGGCTTAACAACTGCTTGCTTGTTCATAATCTTCCGTAGACAGTTAGCAATCGCGTATTGAATTGCTCAGCTCATCAATGTCCAGGTAGAACAGATAGGAGACATCTCAACATCACGCTCATGCGATTCCTTTGTCACGTTTGCGAGGTATAACCTGCGGTCACTTCAGCTGAGCGGAAAGCGGCCGGAAGCGCCGCCATAAGATCGCTGCTCGACTGTCAAGCATGAAGACCCATTTTACTCATTCTTGCAAACTGAAATTCCGCACTGTGGCTCAGGACCGCTGGATCAAACTAACAGCAAATTTTAAACTTATCAGAGGCAACAATGTCGCAAGCCAGACACCGGGCTAGTAGACTATGTCGAACTGAGCTGTGAAGTGAAAAAAAAGTGCTTTAATCCTCCATTGTTTGTCAGCGTTGAGGATGCGCGCATTTTGATCGATCCGCAGGAAAGCCCCGGTCAGAGTTAGGATACTTAAAGGCTTAAAGGCCCCGGTCTACAACCCATGTGGGCAGCGCATTTTACGAGCACAGGCTCGTTTGTATTTAGATTAGACTTAATTTAAAGTATCGGGTTGTAAGCGAATTAAAGAGAACAAAAAAAACAGCAACTCGGGGACTTCAGATTCGACGCGATGTAGGCGCCTGTACAGGATTTGTTCCGTTGTTCGTCAAGTTTCGTTGAGCAAACGATCGACTAGCAAGATGTGCATGTATTAACGACTAATCATGACAAGTTAGAGGAGCTTAGGAAGCCTAATGTAGCTGAGTTTATCCAATAACACATCCACAGGAACATTTGCATGTTTAAATAAGTTGCATCCTTTTTAATTTTCTTAGCGATGTGAGCTGTTCCCGCACTTCCTCATAGGGGCCGAGGTGTGCATCACCTTTCCGTCAGGATAAAACCTGTGATCGTATGACCACATGAGAGACCAGAGGAAGTAGACCTTGTCTGTTTTTTTTTTCTCATTTGACCTTCTCGCTCGGTCGATGGGGCCTTGCAGCTCGATATATCCAGCTTTGCTTGATCGTTGTAAATAGCAGCTCGCTTGTGTATATAAAATCTCGTCTCGCTCCACGGTTTTGTCATCGAGTCAAGCGTGAAGGCACTTCCTTTTGTCAAAGAAAGTCCACTGAGGAAGTTTCGAATGATTCAGGTATGATGACCGCAGGTTTTTCTTGACTGGGCACGGTGCGATTGACTAGCACATTGAGGATTGAACGATGAGCCGGATTAAAAGATTAGCACTGCCAAGACCGAAGCGCTGTGACTCAGGGACATAACCCTCCCATACTCTGTCAAATCGAGTATGGCATGTACATCCAACATTGGACAGAAGCGCGAAAAGTTCGAAGATGTTTTCGAGGCTGGAGAAAGGATGAATGAAGTTCGTTGCAATTAAGAATGGCTGGAAAGTTTAGACAGTCGGTCACACGGGGGAACGGGGTTCACCCGTGGCCAGATGCAACAGACCGATGTTGCATAATGCCGGTGGCTTCATGATCAACAATCCGGGACCAACACCCAATGAGGGCTATATGACAATTTGAGTCTTTCCAATTAAATATGGCCATAGCTCATCAAGAGCCATGGAATTAAAGTGAAAGAAGCACAGCGGATCTTCTGAGGAATTGCCAATCGGTTCTCCCGGTGAGGCGCTACATCGCTGGCGCAATAAGCATTTACCCAAATATGATCACGTCCTAGAGTAGCACTACGAAGTGCCCCAGAACCTTGGACACGCCTTATTTCCAGATAGCTGGGACATCTCCATGCGGATGTTGGATACAATTTCGCATACATACCGTTGAGAAGTTGACAAACTTATGGAAATGCAACACTAAAGAAACAGAAAGTGCTTAGGGAATCAAGAAGAAGAAGCACCAAGTAGTCTGAGTGGGAGTTGCCAAGACGCCGGTTGCTGTTGCTCTGCGCGGGGAAACCAGGCCAAGAATCGTTGACACGAATTTGAGCCAAGCACACTGTTTATGTATAACACCTTGCATGGTGATCGAGCAAACGGAAGACACATATAATGCTTGATTGATTTGCTTGGCGGATGATAGCCAGCTGTACACGACCAGGTCGGGGAAGGTTTATGGTTGCCGACGACATTTTCATCGCCACACTGCGTTCCCAAGACCGGTGCTACCCACCGAGGGGGTGCCACTTCTTCTCAGCTTCTTGGTCTCACTGCGATGGGCAGGGGGTAAAATGTCATGGCTCGAACGAACAAGTCGATGTTGATGAACTAACCTCTAAAGCAGAAGTGCACTCTGGTCGCACAGATCTGTTGCAACAAACTGCTAAAGCCGTGGATGAGGGATTCTCCACTTTGACGTGTGCCATCGGGGGATATCCAGCTGGTCGATTCGAAGGGGGATGAAGAGCCCATTCATGAGGCTGTAGCATCTCATTTGCTATCTCATCTGATCTATAGAAAAACGCGGTGAAGCTCGAGGGTCACGCTAGCCCATATTAACTCTAATTCCCCTCTTCCTCACACAATTCACTTGACCTCTTTTTTCACCCGAAAGGCTGGATTAATCGCGTGGCCAATCGTCGGCGTCTTCAACTCTATAGTCATCAACTTCTTCAACCAACACGAGACTCCTTTCATGTCACTCGAATGCATTATGCTGAAATAAATAAACAAACAAAAAATAACCTCCAGCGCCAATCCAGATACAGCCTCATCGACGGTTATGTTCAAGATAGATCCATTTGCTGTCAAGATAGGTTGCACAACTTCATTCATCCAAGCTGGCCAGGTAGTGTCTGCTACTTTGTTGGCGAAGAGAGCCCCCCAAAGAACAGCTTCAGTGAGTGGTATCCCCCAATGGCTCTTCTCATCCTCTTTCTCCTCATCTCTCTTGTAGCATGTATTACTTGTTCTCGCTTCCAACAGCAGGATAAACAAAGATTAAGTAGACATAGGTAGACCTCTATACCCTCTGGCTTGATGACCCACTTTACTTGATGTTTGAGCTTCATCTCAATATAACGGGATAAGTTGATCGAGCTAATTTCTTTAAACTGTAATTTTGCCAGGAAAATGCTCCGTTGATTCTATATGGATCCGACTCGAGCCCAACGGTTACCAATCCAGCTTCGACTCGAGTTTCTAGCCATAGCGTGTTGTTCGTGGTGCTCAGTGGTGCCAGCGCCTTCTCAATCATCACACTGGCCTTTGTGATGATCTATTGCAGATACAAGGCCCACAACAAGTTTGGGATTTCTCGGCTGTCGTCGCCAACTGGGGAGCCCGGCAGAGTGAATGCAGGATCAGGATACAACTCTTCAGTTGAAAAATCTCAAATCAGACACATCACCCATGATGAGCAAAAGGAACGCTACCGATCCCTGTTTGGAGTTCCGGCCGGATACCTGAGACCGAAATCCCGGATCTCATTGGCACCTCCACCTGCAATCCACTCTCTGCAAGTCACCCGATATTCTGATTCAGTTGTGGGGCTCCAAAATCATCTCGGGAACCACTCGAGGTCTTCTTCAAGTCTTGAAATCCAAGATGGTGACAGTGAAACGTCCCTGTGCCAAATCGCTCTGACGGGAAATGGGGTCTGTCTGGATGTAAAGGATAGGAACACACGCCTGATCAGCTTTGAGGAGGAAAGCGCCCGACAGATACGCGAGTATAGGTCAGCTGACCAGGAGATACGCATCTCACGTTTCTCTCACCGATTTCCAAACCTCGTGGCCCGCTTGAAGACAATCAAACAAAAAACAAGCCGGCAAGCCAAGCCAACCTACCGACCCACTCCACCATACTCACTCAACCCCCAAACCCCCGACAACTTCCATTCCATCCTGACCAGTGTTTCAGAAGTCAGCTCAGAGGGAATAACAGAAGAGGAGTTACACCGATTCAGGTATGATTCAAGATTTCTCAGATTTTGAATTGCTCTCTAAAAAGCTGCTTCCTACCCAAACTACATAACTGAAAAATGCGTCCCTTTCTCATCTCAAATTTCAAGGTCTTCTTCCATCGCCCCAACACCACCTAGTTACATCAAAAGTCCCACCGAAGAGCACTCAGTAGCCCAAAGACCAGTCGACCTAGCCATAGTGACTGATCGTTTGGAACACCACGTGTCAGTCCAACGAGCTACTATGGTTGGCCGTGGGGACTCATACTACTGGTAAATCGGGGTTTTCTTTCTATCGAAATCGGATCCATTGGACGTGTTTTTTTAAACTTCCTAAATCAAGATATCATTTTTGCTGATTCATATGTCCTCTCTTCTGCATTGATTGGCCACAGGAAATCACCTCCCAGGTCAGAATGAAGCTAGAAATGTGAACACTTTGCTCTGGCGCTTGAGCAACACCCAGCTATATAAAATATGTACATCCGACACAAAAGTCAAAATAAACAAGCTTGTTGTGGCTCAGCTTTTTCTCTTTCTCCGGTTCTTGACTCACACTGCTGCTGTACTTCTTTGGGATCCCACTCTTCGACATACTTCTTTTTTTCCAAACATTGCAACCCATTTCCACTGGGCCAAGGATCACAATCCTGCATGTGCCTCCCTGCGATCACAATCCTTGAGTTCCCCCCCCCCCCCCTCTTTTCTTCTTCTCTCTGCATGATATATAGAAACCTGTTGTACTTCTTTCCTTACATATTTCGTCTTTCTTTGCTATACTTTTCTTCAACCCCCCTCATCCTGTAATCAAAATATTCGATTCTACTAAAGAAGCGATACAAAAAAAGAGAGAGAATGAAAAACCTCCTAACACAATTTAGTAGTCAAGAGACATATGCATGTTTTGTTCTTATATACTTCAAATAGTTTGCTTTCATTTGGATCTTTCCAATCAAATCAATAATTCAACTCATGATTTAATCCTTGTGTTAAGTCACCCAAGAACGAGACCATCACGATAGCGACGCGACCCAAGCAATGAATACGTGGGCCCGAGGGCAGCAGCCCACAGCCGCGGGACAAGGTGGAGCCTGCTTGCAGCATTTTTTTTCTTTTTCGGGTGGCAAAAAACATGCTGGATTTCCTGCTACATGTAGACCATCTTCGGGAGTGACTTGATTGTTCTTTTGGGATGGTTCGGATCTGCAGATCCGAATCTCAGATAGATCTTCAAAGTTCCACAAAACTATGCTTGTACATATCCGAGAGCCCTTCCCCACAAGATATACGTGTACAAATTCACACCAACTCTGATCGGCACAACTGAGAACATCTCCGTCGTTAACTTGTAAAGAGACGGATTCGCATGGTCTGGGTGTGTAGTCGGCAATCATCTTCTCGCTCTTTTCTTCTCGGCTTTCTTCTTCTTCTTCTTTTAGCCCGTGTTATCTTTCGAACTATCGTAACTTTCTTCATCTCTCATCCCCTCATAATATATCTATTTATATATATTTATTTATCTATCTATCAACGAATTCAACTTTTTTTTTTCTTGAATCAACAAATACTATGTAAATCAGCTATTAGTTCTTGTTTTTTGGCCTGGTGTATCCCTTTTTTTCCTTAGGATGATGGAATGTGAACCCAGGTGAGGTCTGTCGTCGGCGATTTTCTGTGTTCGGTTCAAGGGAGGAAGGGAGCCAGGGAGTGTGAAGGAGGAGCGGGTTGTTTGCAGTGTTGCAAGCCAATCAAACTTTCAACCCACAACATCTTACGGCATGGAACTCGATCGGGGAGGGCCGAGTTGATGGATGAGGTCGTGGATTAATTCTTACCGAGTGAGTGAGTATAAATAGATGATGGAGTGAGTTTATTGCTTATGAGTACATACCGTAAGCGACGGAATCCCAGTTGACCGCCACAGCACTGAGTCTGAGCGCGTGATGTGATGTGATGTGAAGATGGTGTTGATGATGATGGTCAGACTGATGGAGATGGAGATGGATGAGAAGCTTCGCCCCGGCTGTCCGTTGCTGTGGCCCGGCCGGCTTCGCCAGTTCTGCCCAGACCTTGATGATGAGCTCTCTTTTTGAACTGATCAGATGATCATCATCAAACGCTTGCCGGGATTTTGCTCGGATTCAATTTATGCACTCTGGCTGTCTCGACTTGCCAAACGGGAAGCCGGCACTCAGGGGTTCCCCCAACTTAGAAAGATGTTATAAAGCTATCACAAAGGAACTAATAGGTCAATCATCGAGGCAATGACTTTTTTTCCTCTCTCACATATTGTCCTCTCTCTGCTTGATCGTCGGCCACTATCTGATCCGCTCATGAGCCAATGGAGAGGACTGATTCCCAAGGTTTCCAGACAAACCGCGAGAATGATGGGCCAGTTTGAGCCCCATGGCTATTCTTATCGCGGGCATCCAGAGCAAATGGCTGTGTTGAGGAAATAGCTAGCTCGGTTGGTTTGGTGGTGGTGGTGGTGGTGATGATGATGACATGATGGTCAGTTTGTGTTGTTGGGATGACAGCCAGACTGAAGCCCATCATCCAGTTAACTTTTTTTCTCTCCCTCCTCTCCTCCCATCAGCTGGTCGAATGCTCCTCCGTAAACAGCTTGTCGGTCGGCCCGATCAGCGGAAGCCTTCTCATAGTCGACGGATCGAGTGCTGTTCAAAACTCAGAGAGAAAGAGAAAAAAGAACAACATGAGTCTCCACTATCAACCGAGTGGCGAAAAAAGTGTTGACAACCTTTTTTTTTGAAAAAAATAAATAAATACTTATGAAAAAAAGGACAACATGAACAACAGAATGACCGAGCACCAGACATTCAAATTAAAAAAAAAAAAAACCAACAAGTCTGGTTAGATACCCCATGAGCTGATGATCAGCTGTAATAGTTGGTAGGCTCCCTCTTCCTGCTCTTCTTGTTGTTGTTACCCGATCAATCCTCCATCCAAGGAAGATTATTCGGTGAGTGAGTGTGTGTGTTTCTCTTGATCGATAGACAGATATTACAGCTGAAGGGCACTATACACTCTATCAAGAGCAGCCGCCCCGATAAAACCCCCAGCCTACGCCCATCGCAGTCAGTCAGTCAGCCAGTCAGTCAATCAAAGCTCTCCTTTTCTTGTCTTTCTCCTCCTTCTGCTTCTTGCCTTGGTCGATCTTAGTATCAACTCTAAAGCTGCTGCCATCACCCATCCTATCACTTCCTGAACCAGTAACTTCACCCAGTCTAGTGACTCTCATTCGGACTCAACCGGATCCAAAGAGAGAAGAAACATTAAGCAAACTGAGATTAGAATCCATCCATACACCACTCTTCGACTGTGATTATTACAAATTACTCTATCATTATCATTATATTATCAGTAGTTCTTATTCTAGATTGATTGATTGACAATCCATTAACAAACTCCCCCACCACTTTCGATCCGAAAGCCTTCCCTCCTCAACCGCTTTCTCTTCAGAGGTCCGTACCCAGTTCTAGGCTTCTCTCTCCTTCTCTCTCTTTTATCCTGCTTCACTATGAGACCTTATCACATTATCTGGGAGTGGGCTCAACCTCTCCAAGGATCTGCACAGACGCTGATGGTCTCAAGCACTGCTCTCGAACACGCCCTTCCTTTTCCTTTCGCCCAAGATGATGTTCTGCTCTGATCAGGACATAGTTTCTTGATGGAAGCATGCATTGATTAGAATCTGATAAAAATATCAGCGATTTGACACAAACATAATATTTACATATCTATCATTATGCCATGGTCGAAGAAAGAAACTCTTCATCCGTTGACCATCCGGATCTCTTTTGGTCACATGAGGAACTTCTCTGATTACCAAGCGTCCCTTGAGAGCACTATCCGGCGTGCCCCACCCCGTTATCCTGTCGGCAGCTTTTTCTCACGTCTCTCTTCCTGAACTCTCCTCATCATCAGATTGTTGTACATCAGCAATATCACCAAGCATTATATTCTCCTTGCCTGTCATCTCTCTCTCCAAGTAGACTAGGCCTCGGATACTTGGCAATCTTAATATTGTCCCCTTCCGCCGCCAATATTTATATCCTTCCCAGATGGCCGCCCACTAGCTCTATTAAAGCCCTTCTCTTCCCATGCTTTCTTTCCCCCCCTCGTCCACACTCCTCGTGTTGAAAATTTAATTCATCTCTAACGGTAGCTCTGGGGTTGAATACAGGACAATAATTTCTAACGAGACTGCTATCCCAATCCTTCTGTTCATTTGTTCTTTGTACAGCTCCCCCTCCCTCTTCCGTCCAGCAGTATCCCCCCCGTCCCCATGGCGATCTCCACCAAATTCTCCTCTCTTCGCTCCTCAAGACGTTCGGCAGCTCCCTCAAACGTCATCCACCAAGACCAGCCGCCGACCCAGACTACTGGTTACCAACCTGGAGCTCTTGAGCCTGCAGACCTGATCAGAAACAACAGCATGGCGGCCACCGAGAACACCCTAGGGACTAAACTTGAGAAGAAAACCCGGCTCAAGTTCTTCAGACGCTTCTCAACTCGCTTTGCCAGCAAGCCTCAAGAACCCAAGTCAGATCCTATCGACCCCACGCTTACTGCAACCTCCGATCCCATGCCCAACCTTGTCCCGCTCGGCAAGACTAACTCCAATGACCCTGCGATGGCTCCCTCGGATTTCACTTCAAACCCCTGTGATCTTCCCGTCAAGGCCCCCTTCGAACTCGTCCCCAAAACCAGTGCTAGTCTCAGCTGCGACGAAACCGGCTCGCTCTACCGTCCCAAGGATGCTCATGGAGCATTTTCAGCGGAGACGCACTGCGGGCTCAAGTTCCCCTCGAGGGCATCAAGGTCCTTTTGGAAGCGGCTCAGTCTCTCGCCCAGCTTACAGGCGGATCCCGAGGTTGCCGGGCTGGCGACGCCGGAGATGAGCATGAGTCCGGTCGAGGACGGCAACCCAACCAGCGTCTCCTCCGACGGCCATCCGAGCAGCATCATGTCCTCCGAGCTTTCCACGGCGCCCTCCTCGGCCAACGAGACTGCCGACACCTCTCTGGCCTCGGCCGACGAGGCCGAGAGCGTCGAGGAGTGTGGGCTCGCGGGGATCGGGCTGCGCGATCGCAGGAGCATCTGTCTTCACTCCCTGCCCATCCGCAATGCTCTTGGCCCTTCTCCTTTAGCCGGCCCCACCAACATCAAGCCTCTCGTCCATCCCGCCATGCGCTATGCTCCCTCTTCGTCTTCCCCGCTTTCTAGTAGACTTGCCCCCTCGTCTTCGACTGCAGAGAACCATCCCTCGACCTCCTCTAATCTCAGAACCGGGCCTAAAAGACTCTCCGCCCTATCCCACACCTCTTCCCCCGTCCCTTCATCCCTCTCGCAAAACAAGCATCGGATGAGCTCCGCTTATCTTAACCTCGTCCCCGCCCAAACTTACGTCGACTCTGAAACGCTCATGCGCATCCTCAGAGGCCCGTCCTCTTACCCCGAAGAGTTCAGTTTCTTTTTTTCTCGCTCATGTCTTGAACACGCTGCAACCTTGACTAATCCGTGCTTGTTTTTTTTTTTTTTGGTGTGTTTTTTTTCTTATAGGACTTTGCCTCGTGCTAATAGTCAACGAGACTCGATCTACGTCCCATGCGTCTGAGCGGGCGGGGTTCCGCAGCCGTGGCCCCCTGGTCCACGCGCTGCCGATTTCTCCGTCCCCCCCCCCTCCCTATCATTATCTTCTCCATTATATTAGTCGGCCCTCCCACTTTATTTTTTTTTTCATTGTTGTCCGGCGCTTCGGATCTCCCTCTCTCTCTCTCTTCCTTCGCAACGACACCACCCCCCCTTTTTTTTATCTTTCTATACTAGGAACTCACGGTTCTCTCCTTTTTCATCTTTCTTCCTGTTTTGTTATACTTTACTCTGGACACACTCTTCTTGAAACTTTCTTTCTTTCTTTTTTTTCATGCGTATCATACATACATACTGTGTTGTTTCTTTTCTTTTTTTTTGTTTTCAAAAACTTTGTTAACCTTGTTCCTCACTGCCATAGCAGCAGCTCCTCCTCTTCTTATTAGACTCCTTTCAATTCCTGTCCTCTATTCTTTTTCCCATCTCTTTTTTCCATTTATCCATGATCATTACATACATTTATATATATATACACAAGTAATTTACACCTATATACATATACATGCTCCCCCACCCCCCCTTCTTAATACATACACCTAACTTTATTATTTTACATGTATATCTCCACTTGATGAGTCATGTAATCAATCTCCCATTTCAATTTGTCAATTTGGTTCTTTTTTTTGTTTCTTTTGATCACCTTTCTTGTTCCTGCGTCCATAAATATATACATATATATATGTTACTGAATAACATATACTTATAATACAAATGTGCACCATGTTCATAGCCTTAATTTCCTTCTCCCTTTATTTTGGTTGGTTGTTTCTTTGCTGTTGATGATGATGTGATTGAAAATAGAGACTTACAAAGTGTAAAGATAGCCACAGTCTGACAGACAGAGGGAGAGAAACTAGAGAGAAACATGAACTTGGGGGTCAATCAATTCCTTGTGATGATGATCTAATTATCTAGTTCCCCTTGCAACACAGAGGTACAGTGGGTGGACCGTTATTTTTGGCTGCTTGTTTTGGATCCCAGAGCTTCAAATCACCAGATTGAAGTCATGAGACTTGGTCAAGTGGTGCAGAAGAGGTCGCAAAAAATGAATATGAAAAAATAAAAACAAAAAACAAAGTTTCAAATTTTGTGAAAAATAAAAAATAAAATTGATTTTTTTCAAAAGCTTTGATATTCATTTTGTGGAAGTGTGAGTGCAGAGGGAAAAAAAGAATGGGAAATGGGAAGAATGATTATAAATGAAAATTTTGGAAAAAGTGGTTACCATATAGTTTTAACCAGTTGTTGAGTGGGGCATTCACCAGCTCACTTTGCAGTAAAGCACTAGAATTTACTGTTTTGACTCCAATCTGGACAACCAACCTGGCTCAACCTTTTTTGGTTCCAATTTTTTTCATTTATAATCATTCTTGTCATGTTCCACTCTTTCCTTCTCTCAGCACTCCCACTCCCCCAAAATGAATAACAAAGCTTTTGGGAAAAAACATTTTGATTTTTTATTTTTCACAAATTTTGAAACTTTGTTTTTTGTTTTTATTTCTTCATATTCATTTTCTGGGACCTATTCTTCACCCCTTCACCAAGTCTTTTGACTTGAAGTTTGTGCTTTGAAGCTGTAGAATCCAAAACAAGCAGCCAAAAATAACGGTCCACCCACTGTACATATACATTCTCTTCTCCATTGACAGACATGGCTCTGGACAATCCTTCCATTCTTCCAGTCCACATGGGGAATCAGCCTTGGTGTGTGTTATCATCTACATCATCTTGTGTTTTTTTTGCCCCCTTCTTTTATCTACAGATGGTTTTGGAAATGGTTGATGCTACAAAATCAGGCCCTGTAACAAGAGATATGTATGTTGTCTTTCTGGTTTGTTCAAGTGATGGGGTAACAACAAAAAAACTGAGAATTGGTCAATTCAACCCTCAAGTGCAAGAAAGATGCCATGAATATGATCACGAGTGATGTTCCAAGTTGGTCATCAATCCATAAATCATTTCTTTTTTTTTTCTTTCCACAGATCTGCGTACATCATCCATGTCTCAATTCATGTATGTATGAACACAATATTACATTTGTGGATTGATGGTCCGACTTTGATTATATATAATGCCCCTATGGAAGTCTTCTTGTGCAAGAGTTCATTGAACCAAGTTGATTAAAGTTAAACTGAAATTGATGGAACACCAGTTGCATTTTGAATTTCCCAGACATCTATCCCACATCTTCTTCTCAATATAAGCCTGGATAGACAATTGAGGATTAGTCTGGATTGAGCTAGCCTTTTGAGTGCCACTCTGAGATAGAGACTGGGCGTGAGAACTTGGCTCTAGATGGCAGTTTGGAATAGTTGAGCTCACTAAGTCTTCCTCTCTTCACATCTTCTCATAGACCAGAGAAGCTTAATAATACTATGTGGACACAACCAGACAGAAAAAAAAAAAAAAAAAACCCCAGTTTGAAAAAATTTAGATCTGGTTCTAGCTTCTGTTTTCTCATCTCTTGTATTTTCAAAAAAAAAAAGAAAGAAAAAAAAATAGAGTGTTTTTGTTTTTGCTGATGATATCATTAAACAACAGAGTTCTTGCTGGTTCACCTCCTCAGGCTTTCTGATGTCTCACATCTAGAGTATAAATGAGGTCCAGGCGGAGAACGAATGCAAGGGAGATCATGATAATTTTAGGGACAGCTTAAAAAAATCATGTGGTCTTTCAATCCAACACATCTTTGTAGGTGGTATCCATCATCTCATTGCTCCAGAAAGGAGCTACTTCTGGATTGATTTCTATGTCTGGAACTTCTAATCTACCAATCTACCCAAAAATTCAATCACACTTCTGGTTACTGGGCCTTGATTGGTGGGGTGGCTCAAAAGCTCAGTCAGAAATAATTGGCTAGCAACAGGGGAAGAAATCCTTCTCCAACGGAGTCATTCAATCATCACCTGCACATACCCCCTGAAATTCTTGATGATCCTACTCACTTTCTGTTGATGAATAATATCTGAGACTGGACCCAGAAATCCATAACCATTCTTTGACAATTTTTTTTGTCAATTTCATCCGCTGAAATTATGATGATGTGTGTACTGACACCAGATATATAAAAAAAATGCATGTACCCATGGCCTTCAAGTTCATCCAGCTGTCCTACATTGAATCTTCCTCAAGATCTATGTAGTCCATGATGGAAATCTGACTGGACAAGCTTGGATTGCTCAAGCGGTGTTCCTTTCTTAGACCCTGCCCTAAACTTGAGTGACTGGAAATGCTCCCATGAGCTTGCTACACCACCTGGGGCAGAAGACTGGTTTGCAAGGAGTTCGGCTGTCCTTTTTCTAGTCCCCAATGGTTGTGGTTGGATGACCGGTAATCATAACTTCAAAAACATTGTTGCAATCATTCTTAAATTGTTCTGGATTTTATGGCTCTCAACATAATTGTTATTTCAATTTTGTTCCCATGAGACAAGAGTATCACAACACCAATCAACGTTGTGGATGATACACATAGGAAGCTAATTTCAGTGTTATCTTTTTTTCCCACAATTTTGTCTTCTGTACATGTCGAATGTGATCAAATGGTGTTTCCAAACCATTCAATATCGGCTCTGAGCTTTTGCATGGCCAAATTAAGTTGAAGGAACCAAGTAGCGAGCCAAGTTTTATAGTAATTTTGAACATCGGTATCTGCAATCAATGGAACAAAATAGAAGGAGATGAGGAGGACGGAAGATTCGAAGCGAGTCTCGATCTTTTCGGCCAGTCGGGTGCATTGAACACTAGTCGTGTTATCGCGGACCGTGCTTGTCTTTCTTACGGATTCCGAGATTTTGCCAAGATTATAAGAAACTTCTCTAGCCAAGCCTGCCAAAGATTTCAGTTGGTCCGAGCGCATCTCTGTGAATAATGGGAGCCGTTTTCGATTCATCCCGCGTTTTGATAACTTGTTGAAGAACAGTCTGGATAGTTTCACGATTGGTGTTAGCGATTTAGCTAGTTGAATGGCTGGTTTACTGAGCAGTGTGATCCCGGACAGCTCATCATGTTCGTTGGAAGTGGATGTTGAATCGGTCAGGCTCAAAAGTGTTTGCAGGGTCTCATTGATTGCACGTATCTCCTCAGGCCAACGAAGTTGCACGAGATTGAGTTCAGATCCTTGTAACCATTCAATTGTCAATTCAATTGCCTTCCAAGAATCAGCTGTGTTATCGGCTATGCTGGATACAATGGAGGGTATGTCGGTCATTTCTAACTCGTAGACCTCATATGGCTTTGTTGAAAGATCGAGTTGCTTGAGAAGCGCATTGGCCTCGGAGAAGATTAGCGACATTGCTGTCATTGTCGAATATTTTGCAATCAGGTCGAACATGCCGTCGATTCTGAAGGATTTGAATTCTCTGCGGTGCTGGTCATTGGTTCGGGTGGATGTGGATGCCGCTGAGTATGGACAGACGATATACAGTGCTGACTGAATCTGTTTCAAGGTGTGATTGAGTTCTGATTGTATGCTTAGGATGAGATTGAGGGTCAAGCCTGGTTCGCTCCGTAAGCGGCTTGGGTCTAGCAATCGTGAAAGACTTCCGATTTGCCGTCCTAGTGCGGGTAGAAGATGCGAGTGTAACTGGTTCAAGAGCCCTCTCTTGAAGTTGAGTTGGTCGGCAGAGAAGGTTTCTTCAATAGACCTGTGGTAAGGGAACGGCTCGCCCTCTGCACTATACTCCTCGTCAAGGGCTTCAAATCTTTCCACGACCAGATCTGCAGAGCGAATTTTTGTGGTGTTAGTCATGAGCAAGTCCACATGAACTGTTCAGATGAAATGGAGTTAGCCTTGCACTACTTACTGCCTTGTCGCTGAAGATGCTTGAGTTCTGCTGGGTTGTCGGCAAGGAACTGGACCATTCTATCGGCACGTACTATTTCTTGGTGGTTCTTTTTTAATTACAAGCTTGGTGGAGGACTTCCCGGTGGAATCTGGTGGTCCCCCAGAACCGATCTAGGATTCTAGAGCCTCGAAAACCCTGCGAGAATCTAGAGTTTTCGAGTCTAGATCGTTGATCAGCAAAGGTCAGCTGGGCAGAATGTGAGAGGCTCATCTTCCACATTCCTTTCATCTCAACATCAGCGCTGAATCTCTCCAGGCGTGTGACTTTTTCAGACCCATAAATCTGCCAGGGCAAGTCTGCCGACCATCACGGGGCCTCAACTTCAAGTTCCTGATGACACTGAAGCTCTTTCCACTGCACAAAGGTGTCGTCTGTCTTGGTTAGAACATTGTCCGCAACCTTTACATATTCCTCTCACAATGGTTCCCCAGGAATGCCGTGTGAGGGGGGTGAGCTTCCTCCTCCTTGCCACTTGAACATCTCCAAGAACAGTAAGCACTGCGGGTGTCAACCCTTTAGCTGTCAAGGTGCAGTTTGAAGGAACAAACAAGAAAAACATCTCCAGCTGAAATTCCAGAACCGGGTACATATACCAACACGCCCATACATGATCTTTTTAGCTTTCTGGATTTGATGGACAGGTTTAGGATTGGCAATCCGCAAGAATGAAACGTCCCGCATGATAATCTATGATAATCCTTTGGGAACCATGTCGACGTTTAAAAAAACAAGTATAAATGCATACTCCAGCAACGTGAGGCAACCTGACGTCCAACCCTGGGATCAACACTGTCGTGCGTAACGCAAAGACTGATTGACGTCAACAACCCCAGGATCAACGGCAAGTTGGATGATGCAATGACCATCGTGGCATACCGAGCCTTGAGCAGTGCAACTTGAGGTGGAATACATATTAAATTTTTGATTGAGCGCGTCGGCTTGACTCGGTGGGGTCGACGCCAAGCACGGGCCCTGGTCGGTCCACCGAATGCAGATCACTAAGCTGGCGACCGGTTGCTCACGGCAGGGTGGAACTGACGGTTAGTTCCACCCTGCCGACCCGGACAGTTACGTCCCATGCAGGCATTGTGACAACAATTGGTGCAACCGAGACCGGCCGGGCAGGCCGGTCGCCGCCGCATGACGAGCTCTCGGTCTACCCAGGGCCAATTGGCCCAGCACACAGCCATTTCAGCATTCATATCCATGTAAATAAATTTTCCCAACCATCATTACCACTCCTTTCCCTTATCTTTCTTGTAGACCATAAGATGTGCAACAATCACGTTCCTTGAGGCTGAAGCACAGTGACTGGGATTAGAAATATATGTCAATCAACAAGAAATCTCAAGGAATTCAGAAGCTCAATAAATAAAGTATTTTAATGCAATTGACCAAAGAATTGGCACAATCTACAGGACACAAACTGAATGATATCCATGAATTTTGATCTTTGGCAGAAGTAGGCCCCATTCACAAACTGCAAGTGTCTCAAAAATGAAATTTAACATTCATCAATTGTCTAGATAATAAGTCAAAACTTTCAAGGGGATATACTACCTCGATTAATTTTGCATAATAACACTTCAGCAGCAATGGTCTGCTACAATACAATATGCTAAGCAGCCCACTACTATAGCGTAGTGGTCCTTAAAATAGTGGACCAACCACGCAGTTCCAGTGCACTGTTAGGGCCACTACACTGTGTTACACTGGTCTAAATTGTTTTTAACATCACAAAATGCCAAGAAAACACTAAAAAGTGCTATGGCACAGAATAGCAGTCCTCTAGGCTCTGTCATGGCCCCCATGTGTTTTCTCAGCACAGACATGGGAGAAATCCACTGTGCTACACTACATTTTGGGGGAATTCCACTATGTTAAGCTGCATTAACACTACCTTGAGTGTAAGTGGCCCATTGTTGATTACACCTATGACAAGTATACAGTATTTCAAGAGACTGGTTTTATGGTCATTGAAGGCAGTGTGAAGGTACAAATCAAGGCTTAGCCTTGGAGAGAATATTAGAACCAAGTGTTATAATTTCTATCACAGTAGATAGAAATATAATCCATGTTCTCTACTCAGTACATACAAGGAAAAACCAGAAGATCTAGAAAGAAAAATGCAAGACAATAGAGATACACAAGTAAAATAACAAATGTCAGAAGTAGAATGAAAAATTGACTCACCCAGCACAGCAGATAAGAATATGGTCCACATTCTTCACCATTTAGGAATGTAGGAGAGATGAAGAGTTGACCATGGTTAAGCAGCTATTTGTAACAGTTGGGTTATGTAACATTTATTTGGTGAAACCTATAATTGTTGTGATTATTACCAGTATAAAAATGCTATTATAATATTAAGATGCAGATGGCCTATTATATCTATCTTTGATTGCACTGTTGAGGAAAAAAACCATCAACCATTCTCAAACAGCAATTTTTTTACATCAATTTCAATCATTTCAAGTCTAGTTAATAAAGTTTGCAATTTTATGCTCCCATTCATGAGACTGTTAACCAGATACTTAGGGTTATAAATTTTCTTTCATCTCCCTTCTTTCAGGGAAAGATGAATGGTTCTACCCCAGCCTAAAGTAGACCCCCTTGCACATCATTAATTGCTGGGCTTATGAGCCAATATAGTCACAAGAGAGATAGATGTGGCAGTGAAAGGGATAGTTCTTCAAATGACTGGTTTGTGGGGTGAAGAATATTTAGCCTGTATTTCTGAATTCTCATCCTGATCCAGACTAAGCGGACTAACCACAGAAGTTGGATTTGTGGCTTTTGAGCAGAATTGGAATCAAGGAAGAGTGAAATACATGGAAATTTGATCCAGAAATAACAGTAATCACAAATGCTAGTATTTTAAGCAAGTGAGATAGAAATAACAAATAGCAACAGTTGAGATAAAAGATTCAAACAATAGTCAAAACACACCATGCCCAGAGTGGCTACATTACAGACACAAAATATAAAGAAAAATTACACATATGTTAAGATTAGGGTGGTAGTTCTTTACAAAACTATTGTATTGTGTGGTGCCACATGAACAGGGTTTTCCTGCAACTGTCTCCAGCCTGAGTTTTACCATGGGCCTCCTGGCCCCCTCCAAATCCCAGGAATGTCTGCCTTTTAAAATAATTCGGGACAAGGAAACCTGTTCTTTTGAATTTTATGGACATATCAATTGTCAATAATTGAAGCAACACAATCTTGGATGGCCATTGGGATTTGAAAATTATGAATTTGGTTTCTTGCTCCAAATGAAAATTAATCAATAGATATTAATAAAATAATGGCAAAAATAATCTGTGCAAAATCATTCAAGATGTAAGGATCACTATGTTACTGGATGCAACATGGTACCATTAAGCATCCATGATTGTCAGGTGCTCCCACCATCCAAACTCCCAGAATTTTACAACAGATTAGCTCAACTGACAGACAGACAGGACAAGACCTGCTGTAAGGACACTTTCTTGATCTATCCTAAATCAAATTCATGCAAAGTCAACATCTGAACAAGTTATGAAAACCCAAGGAAGAATGCAGTCTATTGGAAAACCTACAATACATCAAGATGATTTTTCTTTGAATACATGTCTGTTCGTCTTGAATGTCTTTTTTCATAGTGTTTTCCAAAACTCCACCTCTAATATCCTTTAACAAAAACAGTTTGTTTCCTTGAAACATTAGACCCTATCAAAGGACATGTTTTTGCACTGCATGACCGCTCTGCAATTTATTTGCCGTGAATCTTAAATATAGACTAAGGTGGCTGTGCCGCTGTGAATTCCAAGTCTAACTATGTAGTTCAACTACTGGGAGGAAACCATCTTTCCAATTACAATTTTCAGTTTGGTTCTGGCCAAAACTGATCTTCAACTATCTGATGAATTTCATTCCACCCTCAACACAGGGTTATCTCATTTTTGACTGGACTGGCCTTTGCACAGTTTGTTTTACTGCTTTGCTTGCTCCCCAGATTTCTATATACTTGAGTCAAACTCATCATTCCCTTTCAACCGCGTTACAAGATGGAATCTTGAAGTTGAAGGAATGAAAAAGGACAACTACATTGTTGGTAGTGACTTGTACCCAGAGTGATACTTTTGATACTTGCCTGTGACATGGATGTGAAACTGAGCTTGTTGGTTTAGTTTGACTCTGTTCGCTTCCAGGACATCAATCTGACCCTTCAATTTACAATCGATCTATCCCTCACTGTTCTTGCACAGGTAATGTACATCCATTTGTTCTGGTCATCATGATGAACTGACACTAATAGGCTTAACACTGACTGATCTTGCTTGGATCGTTCTGAATAAGGAGATTGATCTGGCAATCTAGGAACCCCTATCAATAACCTTCATCTTGAACAATAACGGTCTCATTCGGTTGTATGTCTATCTTGATACCTGAACTATCTGTTCCATCTAACACTGTGTTAACTGACTTCATCATGCTCTATCTCAAATATCATGGATCTAGGTGTTCTTCCCATCGACTAGACTGATATCAACCAAGACTCACCGATCAGATCAAAAGCAACCTGATCTTCAATCCTATCTGAAGCGAACAATAGGCATACTCAATATCGATCCGTCTTGAATCAACCAATATCGATAAGAACATCATCAAAAAGTCGATAGCAATTCCGATTGTAAGAGATTAGTGCCGATAGCGATAACAGTAGCTCGACCGATATCAATCTGGATAGTTATTGTAAAAGTTAGAGAGATATCGACTTAGTGATAACGACCGATTGTGAACAGGATAGTGACAGCGATATCGACTGTAAGAGTTACATCGACATCAATAGCGATCAACAAAGCGGTAGAGACAAGATTAGTGAAGCTGTATCAAACCGATCTCCATCTCAAAAGGGTGCTTGGTAGGTCTTTAAGAGAACTGTTATGATTGTTTTTATGATACTAACAAACTGAAACATTTAATGCTCATTATGCCAGTTCATTCTATATCTGATACAAATACTCAATGTCTCATCGTTGGCGCCGTCAACCCAAAGATGCTAGGTCATCGAGATACTCTCGTTCTTATATAGAAAGGGGAAGGGGTCATTGTGGTGCCTTCCCTGTCGGTCAACTTAATCGAACCGCTTGTTTGGGGAGGGGTCATTGTGGTGCCTCCCCTTGTGGTCAAGATAATCAGCCAACTTTTCAGTCTGGAAGGGGTCATTGTGGTGCCTTCCTATCCGATCACTCTCAAAATTCAAATAATCATTCTTTACCGCCAGACAGCGATAATTGATCAAATATTCCAAACGGTAGATATGACTTAGCTCAACAAGGTTCACCTTATGGAACGGTCAATCATGGTCCTGATCAATCACTCCAGCTGGAATCTGGCTATCTCGACCGCCACCCATATCGCCGTGACTATCCAGGGACGTCTGTAAATGGACCAGCCACACAGGCAAAGCTGGAACCCTGCAGCGACTTCACGGTTGAAGCAAGATGGCAGCAGTCAGTTTTCTCTGTAAACCAAAAATGCACTTATAAAAAGTTCTGGTGACACCAATGAAATCTGAATTGTCATCGGTCTCACCAGCATAGAGGGGATGCATGACAAGACGGTTTGACAACATCTTAGGTCCGAACAGTCTGAAACTGCATGATGATGATGTCGGTTGCCCCAAAAGTTGCTGTAGATTCCGGCCCTCTGGCAAGGAAGTCCTCCACGACAAACGGGCTGAAGGCCAGGTTGTCAGGACAAAATTCTTCCTTGTTGATCCGGTGAAGCCTGGTTGTCAAGGAGGTCAAGCTCCCCCACACACTAGATGATGATCTCTGGTGACCAGAAAGTCTTGGTAACTGAAACTTAAGTAACCATGATTGCTAGTGGTGACCCTGTCGCATGTTAGGTCTGAAAACACTTATAAGGCTCCCGAGTCCCCCACTCTCATTCAGGTACATGATTCCTGTCTCCACCACTTTTATTTCACACCAGATGTTATTTCATTGCAATTCACTCAACCATCAAGAAATCTGTTTGTAATGCTATATCAACAACTTCATTCCCGCCATCTACGATGTCCATCTGCGTTCATCGGATCTGTCTTTTTGGCTTGAGATTTGGACAGTTGTCCAATACCAAGTCCAACGCTCGCCAGCATCTCGATTTGTACAAATCCATACGGATGCATGAACTGCCCATGCAAAAGTGACTGCGATGTGTATCATCGCCAACCAAGCTCATTGCTCGCTTCAAAAACCCCCAGCCTGCCGTTTGCAGATTGACCTTCAATGCCTCCGTTTGCTGACCATTCATCCGACCTGCCTCCGATGCGCCCGGGATTTGGGGCTCAGGGGTGAGGTAAACACCTGGGCAGCTAACCTCGACCATCTTCATGATGGAGTACATACAGCTTGCATATTGCTCCATCATCATCGGTGAAGAATTCTTGACAAAATCCCTTCGATTCGCAACCGTCTTCATTATCTCTAGCATTCTTTTCAATGCCGAGCGACCTGATAGCTCGGACTTTTGCTTGAATTGCAATTGGTCCTCCTTGGTGCCAACAATGTCTCCCGAGGGGTTCGTGAATAGCTCGGTGGTCTCCGCAATTGTTGGGCAGGTACAGAATTTTCTTCGGCAAGAACCATCCGTGCAATCGACCGGCATGGTTGGCACTACAAGAGAAGTTGATTGAACTAGAGCAGGTCGACGTGTAGCCAGCGCAACAGAGGGGCAACGCTTTCTTGCTTGAATCCCTTGTGAGTTCGTTCCAACTTCGTCTATCTTTCGCTTTTGAACCCGTGGAGCTGGTCTGATTATCTCCACATCGCTTTCATTTGTAGGAAACAAAATTTCAATGTCATAGTCGATGAGTTCTGTGGCAGTGCCATTTCGCGGGACCGAGTTGTTGGTTGAAGCAGCTTTTTCAATGACCAGCATGTCTTGTTGACGAGCGATGTAGTACATGTGTTTACAAGCGCTGCCAAACCGTGTGTAGTGCTCGCATGAACAGCTAGTTAGCCATCCTCTGTAGCTGTTGCGAGCACACATGTAGACGATTGAATAGGGCTTAAGAGTTGGATTGGTGAACGAGTCAATGGTAAACTACATCATTTATTGTATCAGTTTTCTATTGCGTTAATGAATATATGATTGTTATGTGTCCGTGAATGAGTCACTCACATGCAAAGGGCCCTTCTTTAACTGTATGCCAAGCAGTTCCATCATTTCTGGGGAATATCCATAGGCAGTAGCCTTGGCGCGTCGCTGAAATTTGTTGCTGGTTTTGTTTTGCAAAACCGTCCTCAACCCGAGCTTGCGTCCATCGGTAGGTGGACTCAACCTTTTCAACAAGGATCTTCACGACATGATCTATCCGTCCGCGCTCGTTTGAAGAGATGTACTTTGTCTTCAAAACTCGATGCCAGGATTCAGTGTAGTTGTTGGTGTGTATTCCCTGATGTGCAGTCTGGCACAAAAGTTGTCAGTTGAGTACATTGGATGGGTGAGCAGGGTTACGGGATAACTCACAGTTCGATAGTAGATAGCCCAGTACTTTATCCTTGTCCCCCACTGACCAGAGACGTATTCGACAAACCCAGGGCTGATGACCTGCCACTTGGCCAGGTAGTTTTTCAACAGTGGAATTGGGTGCACTCGACTGTACACAACTGACCGAAACTCTTTGAAAGCCTCTTCCGACCGGTCCCGAAGATATGTGTTGGCCTGACCTCTAAGCGCCTTCAAGACATGAAACAAGCACCAATAATGCTTTGGTGCATGTTCACCTACATCCTGATAGACATGGGATACTGCATTGGCAATGGCCAATGCGCAATCACTCATAACCGACTGAGGTATTATGCCAGTGGTGTCTCGAAGCCATTGAAGGACTGCTGCAAGTGGCTTCCTATAGAACAAACCTTGCTTTAGTTTTTGAATCATGTGGGTAAAAAAACGAGTTTTGCTTACTCTGCAGCTGAGGCAGTGAAGGCCCAAGCAATTGGGAGACCTTTACCAACAATAGGATCGCGAATCAGGAAGGTGTACAAGCTGGCTTTGCGACCATCGGAAAGAAAGTAGTTGTTGACTGAATTGTGTGTAGCATCAAGCATGAGCATGCTACTTCCATGTTCGATCAGCATTCGTTTTTGCCAAGGTGACTGTAGTGCAAATATGAAGTCGGCAGAATCTACGATGTTGGTATGTGTATTCCAACTTCTGGAAAGCAGATTAGTGCTCCACATTGCGAGTGAGTGGAGAGGATTGCGATTGAGTTGTGAGGGGATAGTCCTCCGAGTCTGTATCAGGTAGCGGACTCGGTCGTAGGTGACACCATGGGCCTCAGGCTTGACTGTAGACGACCTCAGCTAAGAAAGAAGCAAAAGAAAATGAGTCAAGGAATTGAACATTCATTGAAATGAGACAAAGATTACACACATCCAAAACATCGTCAACCCGGGTGAGATCGTGGATTTCATTCCACCCAAGGCCTGAGTCAACTCGGTCTTTGATCCAGTTGTCGACAACAAGCGGTGGGCGGGTGATGAGCATATGCTGATGGGTTGTGAGTTCATGGTTATGTTGCCAGTGCCATGTTACTCGCAAGGAATTCGATTTGATATGATGGGACACCGAAAATCTTGCCTTACATCCACATCGGGCTGATAGGTGATTCTTCTTTCGAGAGTTGGGAGTGCCTTTGGGATACCCACTGCATGGACACTGGTACTCCAGCTTAAAGAAAGCCTCCAGACGGCGGCCACTGCCTTCGAATTTGGCCAACTTCTCGGGTTTGCTGGGGGTTTTTCTCTGAAGATTCCATCGGATTGTTGCTTGCATGGCCTTCACAAATTCCTGTGCCTCCGATAGGGTGTTGCCAGGTATTGTGAACAGGTAAGGGTGGGTTGGAAAGGTCGGACTGGTGCCACCAATGTTTCGAACCATTCTAAGGGCATTGGGAGCTGACGATACCCCTTCGGGGACAGGTATTTCTTGTGTAAGTGGGCGGGGGACGACATCGTAGATGTTCTGGACAGGAGGGTAAGATAAGAGGGTGGAGGTTGTGATGGTGGATGCCATGGGGAATGATTACGTTGAAGGGAAAGGGTAACGGTGGAATAATCACAAAGAAAAGAGGGGTTGTAACACAAGTCAAGAGATGAATGATAAACCAAACAGGCTAGTTAGTCGGACCAAGGAGAAAAATTAAGATTAAAGGCAGGTCAAGCAAGCAGTCAAGGACACCGAATCTCAGGAAACACACAGCAAAATAGAAGTAGTTGATAAGGAATTAATGAAGATCAAGTTGTCAAATGGCTTCAGTCCTGAGTTGAGGCAAGGACTTGATGAAATTGAATGGAAATTAAGGGAATACTATAAGAATTACTGATGAGACGGATGCTGATTGAGCATCGAGAGGAGGGGTGGCTGTTCTTATGGGAGGCAGCTCATCATGGCCAAGTTGGACTTTGTCATCTTTTGCTTGGGATCCATGTAGCTGTGGCACTGACTCTTGGTGACACATTGCGGAAGGGAGGCACAACCCCATGTTGCTGCTCATCATGTCATCCAGGCTATTCCAAAAAGGTCATTTCGGTGTTCTGCTTTTGCTTTTCATTTTAAATTATGGGTGTTTAGGCCAATCCTTTACACAAGACGACTATCATGTGGGACGTTTCAATTCTCGTTGGCAATCCCATTGTGTCTTCATGGCTTGACTTCCTGGCTTCTTTCAACCTAAACGAGCTGTCTCGATTCTGGCAGCTGGCAAAATCCTCAGATCCAAATAGCCCATTGAGAGAGAGAACACGGTTCGTTTCATCCGATCTGAGCTCAGGTGCCACCGTCCTTCTCGCCGTCTCTTCCCGGCGTAATGGATGATCCAGCTCTCCAATGTGCGGTGAGAGAGCACCTTCTGACGGCTTCTGACGCGGTCGGATGGCTCATGATTGCTAATCCGTGCTGCCGAGTCAAGCAGCAAGCAGGCAGACCGAGTCAAGCAGGCAAACCAACTCAAGATGAGTTCTGGGCTATAAATAGAGGCAAACATCCCTCCCACCTGCTCCAAATCACCGCCATTCCACTTCCCACTCGACAACAATCACTCCGATACCACTCCTTCTCCACACCACTCTCATTCACCAACTCCAAGTTTATCAGTATGCGAAGCGTAATTGTTGCCGCCTGCCTCTTGGCTGCCGGTGCGTTTTCTGCTCCGTCCTCTCTCTGGCAGCCCTTTTTTGAGAGGTTCTTCACTGACAGTCTAGCCGACTCTGTTCATTCACCCATGCAGCCGCCATGGCATCCCCAGTAGAGTAAGTTTTGAAGAATCTTCCAAACAGAAATAGTCCGGTGCAGACCACTGACAGGAGAACCTCTCAACAACAGACTCCAAGCCCGAAAGCCGTGTGGAAACAGCTGTGACCCATCCTACATCAACGGCGGCAACATCGGCGGCGGTTTCTTCTACGACAACGACCGCTCCAGTGACAGCAGATACCACGATTCAGCGAGCCAATTCCAATCCACTCCTTTCGGTACATTCAGCAGCCAAAGGGAAAATGACGCTGCCGCCTCATCCCGCGATCACACCCAGATCATCTCCATCCCCGGCATCGACGATGGCCGCTTGTACTAAGCAGCGACAGTACCCTGCCCGTCTTAGTCTAGGATCAGATCGGCTCCTTTTTCCTCGTCCCCAGTTTGCTGGAGTGGTGATTATTCCATTGGATGTTCATTGCTCCTCTCTCTCCCACTCCTTTGCCGTCATACTTGTGCTGTGATTTTCGGACCTTTGCCATTGTTTTTTCCATTGTCATCTGGCTGTTTTCCAGTAGTGTACTTCTTTCCAATCGGATCTGGGTTCTCCTCCCATCTATTCAGGCCATTACGTTTGCAATAATTTAACTTTGAGGGTCAACTTCATTTTCAACAATGTGCTTGATGCAATTCATCGCCGTTGCCCCTACCAGGTTTGAGAGATGAGAGATCGTCAGTTGTTCCCATTGAATTTGAGCCTTTGTGCACTAGCTTCACTGTGAGGACAAAAAACTGTGCCCACTTCTAGTCCTAATCACAGAGTTGAAGACCTGAGCAAGTCATGCAGCCCGGAGCGGATGTTTTGTGTAACTCAACGTTAGCAAAGCTGGATGTGAAGGTGTCTTGAGATCAATCGCGAAAACAAACACTCCTTGACATGCACACTTCATGTGACTGGCAAGTCCTGAACTCCAGGGCTTGGTTCTCGTTATATCAACCCACTTTCGAAAAGGGCCCTACAAAATCCTAGTAACAGCCACCAGCCAGACCCATATAAAAAATATATGAAGAAGCCTTCTTGTGACCGAATGGACCCGTCGAAGACGAATACTATTAAGGGCATCATCGTCTTCTTCCGGCTTTCTCGCTCTGCAAGATTTCATGGGATCGTGGACCCTAGTCCCTATCACCCACAGTGGGGGGGGATTTTTTTAGTCTTTTTTTGTGCTCTTTGCCAGTACTTTAGCTGCCTCCTCGGGAGGCACAATGGTAGGGAAACGCTCTCCTCCTCGCATCAAAGTAGCAATCAGGCAGGACAGCCCTTCAATACTTCACCCGGATCGACGTTCGAACATATCCCCTCACCTCGTTCACTTTCCAAACTGCTTGCTCTGATTGTAGTGTATCACATTAGCACGTGGTTGAGTCTAATTATCAACATGTTAACCATCCATCAAATACCATTTCTTGCTCTCTTGCTATCCGCGACCGCCTGGTCTTACCCGCGCGTTCATCTTGACCAGGCGAGCAACCCAATCCTTGGGAGCAACGACCCCCGTCCTATTGCTGAAGACGGGATTACTAATACTCTTGGGGTCAGTGCGACCGGTTGATGAATACAATTTCCTTATCATCTGGGACTGACTTTTTTTTCTTGCTCACCCATCCAACAGAAAAGGACAACATCAAATCCAGGCGAAGCCGATGATGATGGTGCTAAGACGCAGTTACTCAAATTTGGCCCGACAGTCGATGGTGCTTCTCTAAAAGCTGACATCGCCGCCAACCCAAAACTTACGCAGGAAACAAATCTCACAAAGGGAGCTGAGACATCCCACAAGCCAGACGCAAATGACAACAATAAGACGGAAAAAATCGAAGAAAAGATCAAAAAACAGGAATTGAAGATAGAACAGCTAAAGAAGAAACTAAAGAAGGAAGAAGAAAGATTGGTCAAATTGCAACAGGTGATCGATCTTTTTCTTTCTTACTCCCTTCACATGTAATGGCTATGTGTCTGAACATGTTCCCGCAGGATCCTCATTGCTGATTGTTACTATTGTATTCTTTTTTTTTTTTCTGCCTTCTCAAAGCAGGACGGGAAGAAGGGCACTAACGACGAAAGCAAGCTTTTGAGCTCACCCATCAAAAGCCAAGCAACAGGGAAGCCCAACCCCACAGTAACCAAAAAGAAAGCAACCCCTGTCGTTGACCTCCCCAGCTTGAAGTAGAATACATAGTCAGCCTCAAAAACCATTGACTACTTCGCCGACAGCTCTCACAAGATAGTTACAAAATCTGTCTAAAATTGTTTATGATTTTAAAAAGCGTTTTTTTTTTCATCTATACACAAGGACCAGGAGCCTTCAACATGTACTGAAACCCAATTTTATATGTTTCTCGATTTTCTACTGCTTTGTTCCTTGCTGTTTTTCCACTTGCGATCATCCAGAATCGTTAAGTATGTTTGTTTGTATTTTTAGGTTGATACGCTGTTGGCTGCTCATTCTGAAAACCACCAAATTATCAGGAAAATGTGAGACTGGAATGGTTATCTCTTTTGTCTGCATGGTTAGAAATGTGGAATTTTGTGGGTACTACATTGGTGTCATTCATGTGAGTTGCTTGAGTGGGTACACCAGGGCAGTTCATGCTGCCATTTTTTACAAAGTTATTTACTTATGCACAATTTTTAGTGGGGTTTAAAGATGAGATTTTGGTGATTGTGGGTTTACTGGACTGAAATGTATCCAGGATTAAAATCTTTGAAACTGCACAGAAGGATGGAACTAATCAACAGACTGAGAATAAATGTTCAATCAATTTCAGTACTTTCTGGATTCTTTCTGCTCCAGAGTCTTTCTGTAAAATCCATAAGAATAATTCATCACACTTTTTAAAATTTGGTTCTCCTTGTAAGATTCCTTAAATTTCAGAGGCCATCTGAATGATATCCTCTGATGTTTTTTTATCTGAAAAAATTCTGAAATAAAAATAAGTGTGGTTACTAAATCACTGGTATTGAAATTTGGTGAACTTGGCAGAATTAACCAGAGAAGGATCCAGGTTTTGTTGATTGAAGATACCTGGAAAATTCACCATGTGTTTCCCGCATATTAATTTGAATTTATGAAATCTTCTATGTAAGAAATTTACAGAAAACCAAGCTGCTTACTTGCTGAAATTTTCCACAATTTTGTGCTCTTGGAAAAAATCAGTAGAGGGGTATCATTTTTTTGATGTCAGATTGGATGAAAATTATTAAAATGGCACCTGCATCTTAACTGAAATTTATTACCCCTGAATTCCTTTAATTTTCTTATAGAACAGCCATATGACATCTTCCTTACAGTTATGGAATTTGGTGCCCTTTGCAGCACTAAAAAAATGGCCAATTTTGTTTGGTTTTTGCAGTATGTGAGCAATCAGTCAAAGAACTCTGGATTCTGTGGAGAGAATTGGAGCAAGAAATGCCAACTTTCTACACATCCAAACTTGTCCTCCCACAACCAATTCAGGAATCCTGATTTGTTGAATTCTAACAGGCATATTTGAATTTTGGGAGTTGTTGATCCAATTCTTGGGAGTCATTGGAGGACTTCCTGTTGGAATATGCGGGTCCCCCAGAACCAATATAGAGCCCCAAAAACCAAACTCCCTTGCAAGAATCTAGGGTTTTTGAGTCTATATCAACTTCTGCAAGGGCTCCAGTTCTCAAGGGAAGTCCTCCATTTAAGCAAGACATTAGAGTTATGAATTTTCTATGAAATTAAATTTTCTTATCCAGCCATCTGGGCATAGCTTGAGAATTCCTTTTTGAGGTAGAATTCTATGGATATTTGACTCACCATTCCGCTGTTTGGGAGATGGACTGGAGTTTATAATGTGAATCATTGGTGCTACATTCAAGTTTAAAGGCATGTATAAAAACAACAATAACAATAAGAAAATAAAAGAAAAGGATGCAAAGAGGTAATATTCAGGTAGATGCGGGAGTTGAGTTCAAAAAGGCATTTTGGCATATCATGTAGAATCAATGTGGGCACTGATGGCACAGAAAACCTCTTGGGATTGTAAGGTGGAGTGCTGGCAGCTTTCATGCAGTTTCACCAGGAGGGTTTGCCAGGAGATTTTCCCTGAAAAAGCAATATGACATGAGCACCTGACAGTCTGGATGTGGTTTCAGAAGGGGTGGTTATATAGTGTTGGTTTTTCAGCATGAATGTTAAAGTCATGAACAGAAGTATTTGTGGACATAGATAAATCAAGTATCACATGATTCAGGTTGTCAAAAACTCTCCAAGAGTGGAAAGATTTACGGGGTGGAATATTGAAACCAGTGCAGACATTCTCCTTTCTGATTGAAGCTTCAAGATTTAGCATGGCAAGGTACAGTTACAAGATTTCCTCTGGTAGATTACAAGTCTTAAGCAAATCGGAGAGAGAGCTTCGTCCCTGTGGGTAATTTCACCAGACCTATTTTTTCAACACAACACTACCCTTCTTACTGAAACCGGCGAGTGAAGCGGAAGGGATCATTTGGAAGCAAGTAGCGGTGTAGCCACTCAATTCTCGATCATCATCCGATTCGAGTTGAATACTGGAACAATCCGAATCATTTTCATCGTCGGCCAAGCTACCATGATCTTCTTCCCAGTCTTCAAAATAGGATTCGAAAATGTAGACTTGGTTAGCGTTAGAAGGAAGCTCAAGAGGAAAGACAATTTCCTGGTGCTTACCAAAGGCTTCTTGGGCCATTGAACTCTTCGCCGATTCATTTCCAGTATTCATCGTTAAATGAGGAAATCCCACCAATTTGCACTCGGATTGGGGGCATCTTTCCTCGGAAGATGTTTTAACCAGTTGGTGGTCATAAATCGGCATTACGCTCGAATAGATTGATGAAACTGGTGAGGTAGCTCTTGTCAACGAGGAAAGAGTGGTATCCCACAAGCTGGATTGTATACCAGACGAGTTGATACTTGAAATCGATTGCTCTAGGTCAGAGCTCGCTCCAGTAGGCTTGTAGGGACTTTCCCAGGTGAGACTATGCTCGGCCCCACTACCAGTAGTGAGTGGACTCTCAGTTTCATCGCCAAAGAGGTGGAAGTGATCGTAACTGAAATGAGATCCAGGCTCGGATTCCGATGTCAGAGGTATACTAGTCAATCGATCTTTGGGGAAAGCGTGTACAATGGGCTCTCGGTCTATGCACAGCGGCTCCAGGTGGACCTTCATGTCGCTTTCCTTCACTGTGAAGCTTTCGACATCCTTCGAATCTGTTGGTGACTGAAAGCGTTTGTCGACCTGATTGGTGGGCTGAGGAGCGTATTCTATTTCGCTGATCGAGATCTCATCATCGAAGCGCAGGTTTCGGTAATGGTTCTCGCTGTAGGCCAGGATATTTTGGCTTTTCATTTCGGAGCTGACGAAGACATCTGAACGCTTGTAGAGCAGAGCGCACGGCGCCACTTCCTTGGCTTTAACCTTGCGGGGCCCTAGAAATTGAGTAGAATTTTCGTCAGAAGAGCTTGCAGGGATATCTTCGGCGAGTGGCGTAAAGCCTATGAGACGACAATGCCTCGCATGGTGCCGATGGTCTTTCCTCGAGAGCTGCGGCGTGATCGCATTCTCCGAGCGACTGGGCTTAACAGGCCCAGAATTATCGGTAGGAGAGTTCACTGGGGTGAAACGAAGCTCAAGAGGCAGTCGACGGGCCCGACAAACATGTTGTCGGTCACTGTCTGCTGGAATTTCCTGAACGGGCGGCTCATTGGCCCTTTCCCCAGAGAAGCTATTGTCTGGGCTGAGATGCTGGGTTTGGACTGACGCGGCGTCTGAGTGGGGTTCGTCTTGGGGTCCTGCGTGAGTTGTCAAACATAGGTACTGGTAGGACTCTTGATGCTTTGAAATTGCGGGCTCTACAAGGCTGGGCGTCATCTCTCTAGCCGAGTGGGACTTAGGCAACGAGTCAGTTAAGCGCTCAGTGATTTGATTGCTATGCATCTATCCCGTGTTCATCATATCTTTGTCTGCTTTTCGAGAATGGACTCACTTTGATAGGTAATGATTGTTCTTTGGTTTGATTTCTAACTAAGCTTGCCAAAATGCTCGTTAGATGGAAGCAGTTGAAGCCTAGACGTCTTCTGAAAAATCAACTTAACATATGTTTAAGAAGTGACTGAGAGATCAGCACTAACTATATGAGTAGGAAGACTGTCGTGCCCCTTTTATGCGCAACTATCCTTTGAGGTACAGAATTTGTTCGTGAAAGCAGCGTTTGGAATGCTAGGAATGGGAAAAGTTGACTTCCGGGTTGTTACGTGGATCTCAGAAACCAATGAAGAAAACAAGCATGAGGATTGGTGCGCAAGCGCAATGGATACCCCCCATCAGACCAAGCGACGAAAGATATATGTACTGATAGCCCAGTTTTGTATGTGTTTATGTCTTATGGTCTTTCGGACTGCTGGTTTCATCTGCCCTACTCCGTATGTTATATTTTGTTTGTATGTACGGCGGAATACGTGCGCTGATCACGTCTCTCTTTTTTGTATCTCTTACTTGTGTTAACATTTGTTAGCGATGGTTGATCTACATCGTTCACCAGGCGCTTTCAGTCTTCAGATGACAAGTATGAGGCTCAAGTCGAGAAATGGATATTTATTTGTGTTTGCATTTATTCATGAATACGTACAACATAACTCATTCTCAAACAGCGGTCGGAGCATCGTTGTGGAGATTACCTTCGTAACTGAACCGTTGAGACACAAAGGATGCGTATTGGCTGCGAGGGTCAGCGAGGCCCGAAGAGCCCCGAGCGTCCAGACTCTATAACTTCTGTGAAGATGCTCTGTCCTTGAGAAATCCAAAGCACCCTATAATCTTTCAAAAGAAGTCTTGGGTGATGTGGCAGACCAAGCAGACCAACCGGCTCATCCGGATTCAATTGGCATACCATCCAAAGTGAGAAACAAAAGATACACATCTTTGCGTTTTTCCATTTTCTTCAGGTTTCTTGGGTGCAGAGGACCCAGGAGGACAGATGCAGTCCCCCCAAGGGGGGCCTTTAGTTTCGGACTCCTCAGAGGGACTGTGCGCGACGTCCTTGGAAGGACTTTTGCTAAGCTTGACATCCGCTACATCAGCCTGCATTTAGCGAGCCGTATGATTCATATACAAGTTCATATAAATTATGTAGAGTGATGGTGACCCAATTGAAAGCTATTCAAACATGCCCTCCTACCCCTCATCAATTTATATCTGCCCGGAATCAAAATGCCCCGCAATCAAGAACACGGACGAGGCCGGAGGCATTGGACTAGAGTAGGATCAAGGTGTTTCAAGTTTAATCTATAAAGGTTTTCACAAACATATACATGGGCAGCTCAACCTCTCAATGATAGTATATATTGTGCCATGGATGGAACCCTTGCCCTCGTTTCAAAATGTCTAACCGCAATAGCTGTTCACCTAAGATTCATATGGTGAATACAGGACAGCGTCACATATGCTCCGTCTCTAGCCAATGGCTGAGCACACACATGAAGCCTCTCCGAGCTTCTCCTTAATGTGTGCTGTTAATTTTAATCAATGTAACCTTGTTTCTCTTCCTCCTCAGTGGAGCCGGAGCTTGAGCGCCTTGGCCCTTTCATCCTTGAAGTCCGGATGTAAATGACACGAAGATGAAATGGTAACGTGCCTCGAAACATCAATGCAAATTCGGGACCAATCTTCTGGTACTTATGGAAATATCGGTGCATGTTTCTGGAAATGAAGTTGGTTATATCATGAATGCAAAATACATTTTGCAGATTACAAGACAAATTAAAGTGAAAGTAATGAATTGTTATGAATAGACGGATAAATATGGAGGTACTGAACAGCCACTTTGGCCAAAAAAAATGAAAAATGAAAAACCCAATTTTCAAACAAATATGAGTGATTCCAACCGCCAAGTTGGCCAAGTGGATCTGACATGTATGTCATACACCCTGACAATACATCTCAAACATTCCAATACATACAAACTATGTGATAAGCTCCCTGGAGCCAAAGTACCTACCATCCTCAACACATAACACATACACCACAGCTCTTTGACCGATGAATCAGCTGGCAACCGAGCTCAAGAAACACTCTTCTCACCAACTGCTGACCCTACCAGACCAACCACTTGACACAACGGTGGGCCAGCTACGCTAACCGTAGCGTTAGCGTAGCGTAGTGTAGCGAAAAATCGCTACAATGTAGCGTAGCGTTAGCGCGTTTTTCAATTTCTGCGCTAACGCTACGCGGAGGGGGGAAAAATTTGCGCTAACGTTTAGCGTAGCGTTAGCGCGATTCCCCCCATGTGCGCTAACGCTACGCGCACAGGGCGCAAAAAACCGCCCGCTACGCTGCGCTACAGCCATTTTTAGCGGTTTTTAGGCGTTTTTTGCCGCTAAAAACGCTGTAGCGTAGCGTAACGCAGCGTAGTGGCGCCAGCGGTGCGCTAACACTACACCAAAATTTGGCTAGTGTTAGCGCCGCTACAAGTTAGCGTAGCGCAGCGGCAGTAGCGGCGCGCTAACACTACACGAAAAAAAAAGAAAAATGGCGCCGCTACGCTAACGCTACATGGGCCTGTAGCGTAGTGTAGCGTAGCGGCCCACCGCTGCTTGACACACACCAACCACTCGATCACACACCAACAACTCAAGACCACCCCACCAGATTACTACATACACCAACCATCCATCATGCGTGCCTCAATGCGATCTTTTGGTGACGATTTCGAGGCTGAGGTTTCTCTTCTAGTTGAATCTGGCCTGACAGACGCTGAAATCCGCAAACATATTCAAGACACGCACGGCATATCCGTCTCTAAACGAACACTCACACGAAGGAAGGAAGATTGGGGACTTATACTTCAAGCCACTGAACATTCCAATCAGCTTGAAGACCACATCCAAACCTACTTTGAACGAGGATTGTCATATTCACAAATCCACCATGCTCTAACAACAAGTCACGACTATACTCAATCTTTTCGAACGCTCGAAAGGAAGATCAAATCCATGAACCTGACACGGCGAACTGACGATTTGGACAACAACAAGGTTGACATTGATACGATCGTCTCTTGCATTCAGGAAATTCATCAAACCCCTGAAGGCCGGAACGTTGGTTACCGAAAGATGCGACAATTGTTACAGACGAAATATGGATTCAACATTCATAAGTGTGTTATGTCTTCTCTGTTATTATAATCCCGTGGAATTATTTCTGATATTTCTTTGTTTGGAATGAAGTCTCACAGTTGCATTGATCAAACCGTACCCCTTGATCCTGAAGGTGTTGATAACCGATCAAAAAGGGTTTTGAAGCGTCGCGTGTTCAACACCCCCGGCCCGAACTTCATTTGGTCTGCCGATGGCCACGACAAACTCAAGAAGTTTGGGATCACTCTCTATGGTTTTATCGATGCTTGGAGCCGGAAAATTTTGGGAATCTTTGTTCATGTCACCAACAACAACCCCCGACACATTGGATACTACTATCTCGAGCTTGTCAAACGTGAAGGTGGCATACCTCGCCGAACATCTACTGACAGGGGAACCGAAACAATCCACATGGCTGGCCACCAGATCAACCTCACCGAATCGTTCAATGCAGACTGCCCAGATCCGATTCAGTCACACCTGTTCACCAAGAGCACCCACAATCAGAAGATTGAGTGTCTATGGTCGCAGTTAATGAAGCAATACAACAGCGAGCTAATAAACCAACTCTTTCGGGCGGAGGAGGAATCGTACTATGATCCACAAGATCCTGTTGAGCAGTAAGTTTATTTAGCCACAGCTTCTCTGGTTTGGTAATAAACTGACCAACATTGCATGCATCAAAAGTCTTTTATTTATTTAACTTATGGGTTCCACTTCTGCAAGAAAGTCTCGATCAATGGACGAGTAACTATAACAATTACAAACGTCGATGGGACAAGAAGAGCATGCTCCCAACTCGATGTAGTGCATAATGGTGCTATCAATATCCCTCGGAGGTCGGAGGCGAACAAGGATTGATTCCAGTGCCAATATCTGCTGCCGAGGCCTTACAGCAGGCGTTCTATCCGGAGGGGACAGAATTAATGGAGACGTCTCCCAAATGGTTTGTCAAAGCCATCAAAGAGCTGGAAACCGGGATACATCTCACAATACCTGTTGTTGACATTCACAACGTTTGGGAGGTGTTCTCTCTTGTTCTTGAAGCTATCCGTTCTTTTGACTCGTCTTGGCTTTCAGACCCTACCAATGACCCTTCTGAATCTTTCTCTCATCGTGCCGCATCCTTTGATGAATAATATGGTTTCTTGGTCTTATTCATGCCTTTGATTCAAAATAACATAATTTCTGAATTTGTTACATAAGTCACTTGGATGCGTTGTCTTGAATGCATGTATCTGATTGATTATTTGTATTCAATAATCAATTTCAATTTGGGATGGATGATCAAGCAGTGGTAATTTATGTTTAAAATTGAAAATATGGAATTCATATGAAATAAAAGACATCATGATAAGGGGGATGGTAAATAAAGAACACTTTAATTGAAAAAGGTAACTATCAGGGATTCAGGATGGATATTTTTGGGATTTACATAAAGTCTTCTTATGTATCTCTTCAGGAGTAGCATCTTTTAATTTTTTAGCAACATTGGCAAGTCTCCTGTTGATTTGAAAAGAACAACCTTGGTGAGTCCAGGGGCGTTCTGGATCATTTTGAGAAGAAAGGGAAGGAGGAGGAGGAGTTGTACAATGTTCGAACTTGGTAGTCTGCCAAACAAGTTCAACAATGCCATTAGATTTTACAAAGTCAATCAGATAAGCATGCCTTGGAAATAAAAATCCATGACCTAATTCGGAGGAAGGAGGAGGAATGGGCCTCCCAGTTGACTTATCAATATAAGCAAATATACCATAGGTCCATCCATTTAAGTCGTTCTTATCTTGATGGGCTTGGTTGTAGAAATCGTTATATGTGACGGAAACATTTGCAGCAAATTTGAGGTGTTCACGATCTTCATTCTTCATTTCAGTCCACTCCTCCTGAGTCCAATTAGGGATTCCGTATTCTTGCATCAGGGCTTGATTTTCCAGGAAGGCAGTTCGAGAGAGAGCTTCCATCCTGCCAGCAAGGAAGTCGTTGTGGGATTGAAGCTTGGCCCAGTTTGCATCGTCTTCGGCGGTTTGAGCAGGGGTGAGTGTGTTGCGTACATAAGTACCTAGGACAATAATTAATGAATCATCATGAGTATAGCATATGGGATTACTTAGGGCATCATTGGGAAAAAAATGTAATTCGGACATACCTCCAGACTTGCCATCGTCATTTCCTGGGCGGAATCCTATCAGATGCATTTCACCATTGAGTCGTTGGGTATTTCGTTTGTTATGCGGACG